CCTGCAAAAAAAAAGAAAGAAAGAAGAAAAAAAGAAATTAGCTGCGTTTTTGCAATGAACGCCTCGGTCATATATACAAGCTGTAAGACATCAAAATCCTCAGTCTAAATAGTGCATAAGGAAAAACAGGTTTGATGCTTTAAGCACAAGTTCCTATTCATTTGTGATTCTCACTTCAATATATGACTTGAACGGATTTCCGACTTCATATTTGATTGAATAAATACTTGCATGTATTAAAATACTTTTACTTTCAGCAGGTCATTCACTCCCTAACAAAAAAATACTATAGTAAACTATAGTTAACTATAGTTTACTATAGTTAACTATAGTACCAAAGTAAAAACTTTGGAACTTTGATTTACTATAGTGAAAACTTTGGAACTTTGATTTACTATAGTGAAAACTTTGGAACTTTGATTTACTATAGTAAAAACTTTGGAACTTTGATTTACTATAGTGAAAACTTTGGAACTTTGATTTACTATAGTAAAAACTTTGGAACTTTGATTTATTATAGTGAAAACTTTGGAACTTTGATTTACTATAGTAAAAACTTTGAAACTTTGATTAAGTACGAAAAATCCCGTGGAATTATGTTTTTGATTCCCATTCTTTACATTTTATGATATTTCAAGTATAAGATTCATAAAAGCTTTAGAGAACATTTTAAAAACCCGACCCCTCTCCTAAAAGAATAATGTACAAGATATGAATTTTAATGTAAAGGTTGTCGCTTGCGTCGATAAATAAGCAATATTTATTTCAATGTATTTAATTTTATTGTTATGCAGATGTAACGTAAGTCTTATTTATGGAGAAAAAATAATATATTATTAAAAAAAAATTGTATCATTTAGAATCAAAATATTTGCTTCATCAACTTCAGTCAACATGTATTTTTTTTTTTTTTTTTTTTTTTTGAATTTATAAATGTAAATATTGCATTTGAATTAACTACTTTGTATATTTAAATAAAGATGTATAACAAAAACCAGCCCCAACCAACCTCATATCCACCCCCTCCCCTAAAACGGCTAAATAATAAAAAAATGAATAAAAATACATAAGTTGTTAATCTAATGAAAAAACTTTGAAACTTTGATTAAGCATAGGGAGAACTTTGATACTTTAATTAACTATAGTAAAAACTTTGAAACTTTGATTTACTATAGTTAAAACTTTGAAACTTTGATTTACTATAGTGAAAACTTTGGAACTGTGATTTACTATAGTAAAAACTTTGGAACTTTGATTTACTATAGTGAAAACTTTGGAACTTTGATTTTCTGTAGTAAAAACTTTGGAACTTTGAGTTACTATAGTGAAAACTTTGGAACTTTGATTTACTATAGTAAAAACTTTGGAACTTTGATTTACTATAGTAAAAACTTTGGAACTTTGATTTACTATAGTTAACTATAGTAAACTATAGTTAACTATAGTTTACTATAGTATTTTTTTGTTAGGGCTGATCAGGAATTCCCACAGACAGCAATGCAACATCAGCGTGGCCTTCTACTCATATGTTTGATAGCTATTCACGTGGTATGTATACCTTAATTTGGTGAAAGCCGTGTATATGGTGTGTGTGTTTTACGTTCTGTTTTTTACAAGCTTCATGTGAACACTAAGCGAAGTTTATTCGAATTAAATTTTGACGCATGTGTAATAGCAACCACAGGAGAGATATTGATGCCTATTCTTTTGATTTAAATCTTTAAAAAACAATCATTTTTATTGTACCATCACTATTTTGACCCTTAGTCAGAAAATCTATGGATTTTCAAGTCATTCGATCATATTATAAAGGCATAAGTCCTGGTATCTTGGAAAGGTATTTTGCAGTTTTATTAATGACGTTTCACTGAAATGTTATTTGGTACAGATTACTGAAATATTGAAATATTGTATGATATGTACAGTTAAATTAGCTAAATGAATTAATGAGATAACGAACAGTATTCAAACTCAAAAGTCCATTTAAACAATACAGATCGGGAGCAGAGCAAACTCGGACCTCCTAAAAACATCAGATGCGGGATCAGTTGCCTTGGAGGAGTAAGCATCCTCTGTTGACCGGTCACACCCGCCATGTGCTCCTTGTCATGATCGGGAAAACGGAAAAATCCGTAGAAATTTCAGTGTGTAAATAATGGCCTAACAATTAGAATGAGAAATGTCTGTCAGCATTTGACCTAATCATAGATTGGATTTGCTGATAAGGTCATTGTATCGACCATAGAACTTTCGAAATGACGACTTCAAACGAGACTTTTGATATCCTTGTTTCATCAACTTGTTGGTTAATAGCTTGCTTCGTTTTAAAAATTTATCGTACATAGAGCATGCTCTTGCGTATCGAGTCAACTGGGAGAAGTTAAACTATGTGAATCTTTGGAGCAACGTTAATGTCCAATGATTAACTGATTAATTATATGTTGATTTACGTCCCGTTCGAGAATTTTTCATTCATATTGAGACGTCACCATATATCATTGAAGGGCTTCAAATTTAGACCTTTACTTGGCACTCAAGGCCTTTGAGCAGTGAGGGTTCTTTAACGTGCCAACGCCTACCGTGACACGGGGCCTCGGTTTTTAAGGTCTCATCCGAAGGACCCGCAACTTTCACTTCAAAGTACCGAGAGCATGGCGAAGGAACAGTTGCTATGAAAGATATGGAGATAACGAACAGTATTCAAGTTCAAAAGACCGTTCACGGTAGCTCAGTCGGTAGAGCGCTCGCTCCGTGATCGGGAGGTCGTGAGTTCGAATCTCGGCCGCGACAGACCTAAGTCGATAAAAAATAGGTAGCAACTGTTCCTTCGCCATGCGCTCGGCACTTTGAAGTGAAAGTTGCGGGTCCTTCGGATGAGACCTTAAAACCGAGGTCCCGTGTCACGGCAGGCGTTGGCACGATAAAGATCCCTCACTGCTCAATGGCCCTAAGTGCCGAGTAAAGGTCAAAATTTGAAGCCCTTCACCGGTATATGGTGACGTCTCTATATGAGTGAAAAATTCTCGAATGGGACGTAAAACAATATACAATCAATTAATCAATCAAGTTCAAAAGTCCATTAAACATTACAAAATAGGTGCAGAGCAAACACGGACCTCCAAAACATCAGAGGTGGGATCAGGTGCCATGGAGGAGTGAGCATCCCCTGCCGACCGGTCACACCCGCCGTGTGCTCCTTGTCATGATCAGGAATAACGGAAAAATCCTTCGACAATTCAGTGTGTAAATAATGGCCTAACAATTAGTATGAAAAACGTCAGTCAGCATTTGACTCAGTGATAAATTGTATTTGCTGACAAGGTCATCGTATCGACCGTAGAACTTACGAAATGATGACTTTAAACGAGACTGCTGATATTCTTGTTTCATCAACTTGTTTGTCAATAATTTACCTCGTTTTAGAAATTGTACATACGTAGAGCATGCTCTGGCGTATCGAATCAACTGAGAGATATAAACCCCCTATGCAGGTGATGAAGGTATATTGCTGCATAAGTAAGGGAAGTTGACGATTGAAAAGTTAAAGTCATCACGTTTATCATAAAGCTTGGTTGTTAGATTACCATTAACGTCTTTTTCAAGTAAAATATCCAAATATGAAACAGATGTGTCAGACTCTGTAGTATCTTTTATCTCAAGCTCACCGGGATATATCGTATCGACATCAGATTGGAAATAACAATTGTTAATTGACAATACGTCGTCGATATATCTAAATGTCGAGTTGAAGGCCACAGAAAGTGTTTTCTTCTTTTCACGTATAAGATTTTGGACAAATTCTGCTTCATATGAATACAAAAAAGGTTTGCTAATAACGGAGCGCAATGGGTATCCATGGGAATTCCAATAGATTGTTGGAAGACCTGGTCTCCAAAAACCACATAGATATTGTCAATTAGAAACTCAAGCATCTTTTTAATGTCAGCTTCAGAGTAACTTGTGTGTACCATCAGAATGTTTTTAACAAAATAATTTTGCAAATTACCAATGACAAGGTAAGTAAATTTACGAGTTCCACTACCTATTTTTTTATCGACTTGGGTCAGTCGCGGCAGTGATTCGAACACACGACCTTCTGATCACGGAGCGAGAGCTGTTACAACGCACTTTAAAAAATTACGCACTTTGAAAATTTTATTCAAAGTGTGTAAAATTTGAGACCAAGTTAACGCACTTGTAAATATCGACCATATTAACGCACTTTGAAAAAAATAGTGCACGGCTTGGTCAATATTCATGCAAATTTTAGGTATCATAGATAATTAATTGAACCTGTTTGGATATCTTTTCGGTGATGAAGTCACTTCAGGATCTGAGATATAGACGTTTTAAAGATTTTTAGGGGTTGTCTAGTTCCCAATGCAAAGGTTCTCGTAAATGTAACAAAAGGAAAATGGATCTTTTAGTAATAATGGAGGAATGATTATTTAGTAGTACGATTTCGTTTCTTTTTTTTATTTCCATCTATGATAAGTTCTGTAGATGTAGGGGTCGATTTATGACTTAAAGCATCGCATTTTTCTTAGGGAAAAGGTAGCAATTATGATTTTTCCATTGAAAATAATTTTCCCTCAGAATATCTTTTTATAGTTATTTGATAAGTATTTAGAAGATGAAAAAAATTGTTTATTCCTGCACAATAGGATTTTTTTTTTACAGCTCTTTGATTAGTATTTAGAGGGATGAAAAAAATATGCATTTTATACAAGTTGATTTTGTAAAGCTACTTTGGCCAATTAGTCAGTTGGATATTGTTGCTTAGACTAGCGATATGGTTCCTGAACTTCTCTTCTTTAATATAATAGGGTGCTTTTTTTTCAGGAAAGCTTATTTCAATTTTTTCATCTATTTTACGATAACTCAAATTTATTGAGAGAAAGTATACCAATGTCATACTACGTTATGTAAATACATATTTTGGGTAGGAAAGATAAAGAGTTGGGCTGAGGGACCTTCTAACTGTCTTCTCCTCGTTCTCGATGAGGGTAGATCAATTCATCAGTTTTCGAAAGAAAAATAACTTAAATTACTTAAATCTAAGTCCAGAATTTTTGTTTTATACATGTTTTTTTTTCAAAGTGCGTTAAGTGTCTCCATGGTAAAAAATGTTAAGGCACTTTGAAAAAAAATCAAAGTGCGTTGATTTTGTCCCAAATTTAACGCACTTTGAAAAAATTTTTCAAAGTGCGTTGATTTTATCCCAATTTTAACACACTTTGAAAAATTTTTTCAAAGTTCGTAATTTTTTCAAAGTGCGTTGCCACAGAGCGCTCTACCGAATGAGCTACCGTGACGGCTTTAATGTCCGATGATATTGGTTACTAAATAAAATAAGGTATGCAATTGGCCATTATCCACAAAAATATCGTGACTTTGTCATGTCCTATAAACTATAAAAACTCTCCACTTTCAAATGTTTGGGATACTTTGCAAAACCTAGATGTAGTGCCATATAAAAAGAAAATTAAAAAAATTAATGATTGTATTTTAAAAAAAAAAAAGTTTGCCATGGATTGATTTTTCAACTATAATGACATCTCAGTGAAGCCAGCAGTCTATAACAGAGCTTGGGAAGTAATATTCATAATAAAAAGTAACAATTTTATTTTAAAACTGTGTCTACAACAGTTTACAACACTCAGTTGATTGAATTAACTTCATGGCTAAATTGAGTAGTCCTAAGACCAAGCTAAACTACAGCCTTAAATATTAAAGTGAATAAATTGTCCTCGCTTTAAGTTGAAAGAAATAACAATCGGTTGACCTATTCATTTTTCAAAATAAAAAAAAAACACGCAATACTGATGTAAGAAGAAATGCTCCATGGATGATTGTTGAAAATGAATTTGTTTAGAACTTTCAAGTCGTGTTTCGACACAATCAGAATTTATCTCCAATGTTTGTCCATTATATTTTCCGCTTGCAGCGGGATATAGAGACTATACAGCCCCAAAATACGAGAAAAAAAACAGAAAATATCTTCTTGATAACTGAAGGATGTTTTGAATGGTTTTACGATCTTTCCTGAAGCCAGAATAAGCTAGGAAACACAAAAAATAACGGAACAGTCAAGGAAGCTATTTTCTGATTTTCGGTCAAAAAGATTGACTTTGGGATTAATTCTTTAAAAAAATCTGTTGATCACATGAAAATCAGACAATGAAGTATACCTTAATGTTGTTTCTCTACAATCTTTCCATCACTATAGCTATTGTACAATCACGACAATAGTACAATCCCTTAAAGATTGGGTAACGTTTCTTAAGCATTTACAGGTTGCTGTTCAATTTGAACTTTTTATTTAAAAATATATTAATTAAGTAAAAATTCACTTTTTTCTTTTGCAATTTCAATTAGTATTTTTCTGGTTTTGAATACTAGTTGATAGAATAAAATCAAGTAATACAGAGGAGATATATTTAGGAGCATTTAATCCTTCATCATACCAAACATACTTTTTCCCCTAAAGTGAGTAATCTTCCACTCTCCAGAACAGGTTATCCAGTACGATGTCTCCAAAGATAATTGTAGAATTATCACGGGAAGCGTGTAAATATCCGGAGAGAGAGACAAACGAACGATCAAACCGACATTTCGACACTGTGTACACAACAAACTTCACCCTGCTCGAGGAATCTTAAGCCGGTTTCAACATAACTGCATAATGCCAAAAACTTCACCATGTTATTAATTGAGCATACTTCCACTTAAAAGCCATAGTGGGGTGTCCTCTGATATAAATCTTGATCCTTGTTTGTTCGGAAGAGATTCTAATATGCCAGATATTGGCAGCATATGTGATAGTTAATATTATATTATTTACTCATTTTTCTCGTAACTTATCCCTTTGCTGCTAACTCTCTAACCTATCTACAACTTTGATGAAATGTAAAGCTAATATTGAGCACGTTTTGTCAATACGTGTGTATCTTTGGTAGAATTTGTACTTTGTTACTGATAAGAGGAATCTTCTCTCACTCCCCTATCAAAAAAGTTTTTATTCCAAGGACAAATGTCCTTGATTTACGAAGTCAAAATAAAGCTCGAATTAAGACAACTCCATTATATAAAGCATAAAAATATATTTATTGTTTTGATGATGGAAACGTGGACAAAGTCAAAATTTTGATACTGTTTTTAATTTGTGTAGAATAAAAGTGATGAACTGTTGCAATTAGAATTGATACTGATTTGCGCCAGACCAGTAAAAAAAACAATGATTACTTACTGAGCTATAATTACGCTGTTTAATTTAAGGTATTTATTTTTCAAACCTATCCTAGGTAACTGGGGAACAACATTGCAGAGAAAGATCTGGAGCGGAATTAACAGACCAAGCCTACAAACATACAACTTGCAGCTTGTGTTATCAATTCCTTATAAAAGAAAATATAGCATTCCGCACGTTTTATTACAGCAGAAGTACAGGTGAAATATGCTTGTCTAGTTCTAATCAAAGTGAAGTTTTCTGTCCTTCATACGAAAACAACACGATTATGAATTATGTCTGTGAAACTTTATCAACCGTTGAAAAATGTAACCAGTGGAAAATGTGTTGCGAAAGTGCTTGGGAGTGTTGTCTCTCTCAGAAACTATACAACACTACGACACTAGAGGGCGCTTTCTGTCCGATGACGTGGGATGGCTGGGAGTGCTGGGGGAGAACTCAGGCTGGAAAAGTTGTCAGTCATAAATGTCCATCGTTTATATCATATACACCAAAGGAGGGTAAGTGACATCTAAAAGACAGAAATTGAGCATACAATATAGTGTATGATTTATTGTTGACATCTCTTCGTTGCGAAGTAAGTTAATACATCATTAAAGAACTACTAATTTACGAAGTTCGGGGCATGGAAAACCACGAGAGACTTAAAAGTTCATTAGAGTTTTTATTGTATACGAACCAAAGACACATACAAATTAATCCAGTGTTTTATCAAGATAAGTTTTAATTTTATTTTTTTCATATTTTACACAACAATTTTGTACATTTCTTATGCCTTATTTTGATTGAAGAAATTAATCAGAGAATGACAAAACCCCCCACTAAATAGAATGTTTGAATTTTACCCTTAAAGCTTTACTCAGATCTAGACAGACTTACAATGGCAAAGCAGATATGAAGCTCTCGAATGTGTAAGTTGAGAGGAGGCGTTGTTATACATAAAATGTTTAAGTTGAAAGAAGGCGTGGTCATACATAAAATGTAAAAGGAGGCGTGGTTAGTCATAAAATGTACACAATGGACAAAGAGATACATTGACGATATCCTTAATTAGCATATAGCACTAACCAGATCTCCAGGTATACGTAGAATATTTTGTTAAGTATCAAAGGTTCTTTTCTTTCTTTCTTTTTTTTAATATTTCAGGAGAAAAGTTTACAGAAACAGATCATTGTAGTACGTTGAAATCGCATTTTTTTTTTTTTTTTTTTTTTTTTTTTTTTTTTTTTTTTTTTGCCTACGGTCGTTTTACCATGTCTGTTTGTGTTGTTTAAAATATTTTTGAAATCGATCACTGTTCGTTATCTTCACCTTTTTCATTTAAGCCCGGAATTTGCATAAAATAAGAAAACGGCCAAAATGTACTACGATGTCGTATTTATCCTCTGGTTCATGCACTGTTGCGAAGTTTCAATGAAGTTTTTCCAAACAATATGACACATTTAAACATGTGAAAAAGAAAACACATCAATGTATTCATCCTACACTTTCTTGATGCAATAAAAATATGTCAGCTAAAATCAAAGTTACTGCTTCTATATTTTTCTAAATTTCACACTTGTTTTCCTTCTTAAGTTTTTGCAAATTTGTTACAGTCATATGTCAATTTAGTGCAGCCGAGACATCATAGTGATAAGTGTTTTTAAGAAAATAACTTGGAAAATAACCTCATGAGCCAAATTTTAGATCAAGTGGTCATACATATAAAGCAATAACGTCCATTTATCATAAGGTGTAGCTAAGATTAATCTGTGAAATTTTGAATTCATAAAGAGATGGATATTATAAGAAAAATAAATAACTATATGCTCCATCAAAGGTGCTTTATTTTCCTTTTCCCACTGAACGCAATTCATCGGTTAAAGTAACATTTTAGAAGTTTTTTTTAAATATTCCAAAGTCTAATTGCTATATGATAATAAATAAAAGTTTCAAAATTATTTTCTTTTATTAATTAAAATTCCATGCGACAATAATATGTATCAATTATATTTATCATCACATTCCTTTACATATAATCATTCTTAGCACATATCATTCTTAATTTGTTCTTTAATAACCGTTTAAGTTATAAAGCATTACAAGAAATCAAAGTATTAAATACAATCAATTAATTATTTTACGGCAGTGATGTTTGGGAAATAGTTAAGATGTGCGTGTGAAGTGTAAAGCGAAATCCTTATTCTCTAATTATTTATATCTTAAAAATGAAAAACAGAGCTTCAAAAACTACTTCAACAGACATGAAATTAACTGTTTGCTCGTTTTAACCTTACCAAAATCGTGCAATAGGGGATAAACCCAAAATGTCTAGAACACCTTGAAATATGAAATCATTAAAAGGTATCATTGTAAAACAACGTCAATGGGAGCTCATGGGTCTTTTGTGTAGAATTATGAGTACAGAGACACGATCCCCCTTATAGTTTAACGAATACAATGTGATTATTCAGAACGAAGGATTTGTTCTTAACAATGATTACGAAGTGACCGGGAAAAGATTTTTCCGAGACATGAAGTAGTCTGGTTACAAAACAATTTTCAAATCTTCAATATCAATTTAACAATTACGTAAGTGAAATAAGTCAATTTTCCTAAGTGTATCAATTTAGTAAAATCTTTGCTTCATAAGAAATTATCAATTACATTATAGTCTGTATAGTTCTGTATAGACACTACAAAATATCTGCTTACTGAATGTAAGTATTGACAAGATATGCAAAGTAGGCGCTTCGCAATGCCTTTTGCTCATAATATTTTTGAGGTTTTAAGTTCACGAACTCATTCTCAATCTTTTTAGGACGTAAAATGTATGACGGAGAAGTATAAATAAAAAGTAAAGAAACTCATTGTTGAATGCATTGATTTACTCTAAACATTCATGCAAATACGAATTTTCCCCAAAAAGATAGAAGTAAATAAAGTCTTTATATAGGAAGCTTGATTAATACACCATGCAACATGCAGATCACAAACTACACACCGGTATATTGTTTTATTGTGTATTGAAAAACTATCAATCGATGGACTGCATTTGCAAAATGGCCTTTATATAACGACGATAGAATTGCAAAATGATGAATTTATCTAAACGAAATGAACTTTATTCTTTTTTTTCATGTCATTTTCTGTATCTCGAACAGCAGCCAGGTAAGATTGATTAGTTTTGTCGTTGTGTATAGACAATACCTATACTTTTAGCTGAAGCTCGGAAATTCTGCACAGAGAATGGAACTTGGTGGAGGGACAGCTCGAGACATGAACACACAGACTACGATCAGTGTCTCAGCGTCACAAAACTACAGGAGAAAATCAATGTACTGAAATAATCTCGTCTTTTATATAAAATGTAACGGATTTATCGCCCTTTTTTAAATATAAAAATCTAATTCATTTTTACTTAATGATTGTAGTACACCGAATTTAAAATGAGATACAATATACTCTTTGATGCATTGGGCTTTTGTTTTTTCTTTCTTGCATTAAAATTTCAACTTTAACTCCACACGTTTAAAATATCGGATAGAAAGGAAATAAAATGAATTCGCAATTATTATTATTATCATTATTATTATTATTATTATTTTTTACATTTTTCAAACTATTTGTACCATTCTTTAAAAAAAAAACCATCAACACAATAAGCTTTTGATATAGAGCATGAAAATTACCAGAGAACATAGAAGTTGAATGTAACTTAAGAAACAAACTATATTTAGGTAAACGTTATTGTGATAAGTGTAAATTCATGAGAAAGAAATTCTTTTCAGTTTTTCAAAGAGGTAACTCTGGTTAGAATCGCCGTCAACAGTGTTGGACTGCTTTTTCTACTGTCCTCTATCGGCCTCTTTCTTCTCTATAGGTAAGAAATATTTACCATGTTTTCATATAAAAGTTTTACTTAAGGAGCAATATAAAAGTGTGAATTGTTTCTTAAAGGATTAAAATCCGTGATGAAATAAACTATTTTAATGAAATGAAGATAACGAACAGTATCAAGCTAAAAAGTTCATTGGAACAATACAAAATTGCGAGCAGACCAATCATGGTTTTCTAAAAACATCAGAGGTTGGAACACATAGAAGGGGTTGGGATTAACTTTATTTGACAGGTTTCAATTAGAGAATGTATATGGTCAACTGATGCTTCCAATGCAAATGTTGTGTCCTGCTATACTCATTAATTGTAGAAAAAATTAACTCTACGAATATATGCTGAAGTTGGATCTTTCATTACAGTTAAATTGAATTTTGATGATTTGAATCGTGCGATTGAAGGTTATATACACAACAGGTTTTAAGTTATAATGTATTACAATATCTAAGGTTATTTTGATTTTGACTGAAAATGAATTTCATTATTAAAGACAGCTTCGAATTCAACAAAGGATTAAACTTCACGTTCATCTATTCCTGTCGCTGCTCGTTAGAGGAATCATCGAACTCTGTTGGGATGTTGTAATTAGATATAAAAGAGTGGAGGATAATTCTCACCACACGGACCAGGTAATAGTGATGTACATATTAAATGTTAAGATTGAGTTAAAATTTAATTACTTTAAACTTATTGTATATATTTGCATTATCTGAGAGCCGATATACACATTAAACCTGAAACGTATGTTTTCTATAAAGAAGCAATCAAAATGTATATGTCATAGGTTTCAAGTTTATGTTTACCACTATAAATAAGCGACAGAGATGTATAATTTGATTACTATTCATTAGCATTTGTATGTTTGTCTATATGCATATTCCAACATACATTTATTGCAAGCTGCTTGAAGTTCACTTAATTTTTGTTCGATTTATACGGTAAACATACGATGTAATTTTACCCGTGTATTAGTGCGTAACTTCTATTTTATCAATATTTATGTTTTTTTCTTTTAATTTTGTAAGATTGGATGTAAGATATTGTTTGTCCTAAATCGGTTTGGATGGTCGGCGCCTTTTTTCTGGATGCTATGTGAGGGGTTCTTTCTACACAGACTGCTTATTAAGACATTCGAAAGACAGAAAACATTGATATTTTATTATTTGTTTGGATGGGGTAGGTACTTACTGAAAATTCTCAGAGGTTCGTCATACATTCATAGAACTTATTTTATAACATAAAATATACACATGTATATGATTATATATCGAATAATATTGAACTACATGTAATATGTTTTATAATTTTGTTATTAAGATAATTAAAGCCTTTCTTTTGACGATGTTAAAGGCCATTGCATGTTCTTACTTCAGGTACGCCACTTGTACTCACAATTACTTATCTCATCGCCAAAATATCATCAGATTCATCGTCAGAAACAGCATCAGAAAAGTAAGGCCATGTAAACGTCACTGATTGTGGTATTAGAATCAGGCATATCTTTTATACTTGTAATACATTTATGCAGAGATATTTACGCAGTCTGCATGAGATATGGAAAAATTAATGAGATTTTAAAATTGTTATATGTATGTAGATAAAAAAAATCCAAAGATTCCAAAACTGTATTTGTACGATGCATGTATAAAGAGGTCTGCTGCAGAATGTGTACAAATTCAAAACGTTATATGAGGGAAAACATTTATGGGGATATGTTGAACGTAACGTAGAAATGTTATAGATCACAGTCGACGTAAAAATCTGTGTATTCTAAATAGAAATACAGTGGTGATCCCTGAGTCAAGAGTGGTTTGCGAGTGTATTTGGAAAATCAATGAGATGCCATGATATAGTTGCGCACAAAGGCCAATATATTAATATTTTGAGAGAGAATGAGAGACATAAATTAGGGTTGCTCTCATGCGCCACGACATACACCACTACACTTTCTTAATTTTTACATTGTTTTTTTATAATGTTATTCGTTGGGACAACCCCTCGTAGTTTAGTATAGTTTAGTATAGGCCTAGGTAACTATTAATAGTAGATAATAGTTTAAAGTTATCACTATCGTAAATAAAAGTTTTCGAAGTTATCACTAGGTGACGTAGTGATCACTATAGTGTCATAGAGATCACTTTAGTGAATCAAAGTGTCAAAGTGATAACTATAATAATTCAAGTGTCGAAGTTAATATCATAATAATAAATCTGTGATAGAATTCCCCTTTAATTCTACTACTTAGATATCATCCAGTTTTGAAGGTTTCTCTTATTTTACCAAAGGTATTTGTTGATGTCTTGATAAGATGAGAAAATTATTTTATTTGACAAGATATTTCTGAGATGAAAAAACTTTTGTCTCCCATTTCAATTCGTGTATTTTTATATTATCAATTGGAAGATTTACTGTTAATATGTTTTATGGAGATGGCAAATTAGTAACTCAAAGTTTAAAAATAACATCACATGTATATATTTCAATCTGTAGTAGTTATATGCTAGATATCAAACCACATATGTACAATTATCACTTTTTATTCAACGATATTTAGTACATGTATATACTACTGGTTACTAGGGTAAATCAAAGTTTACAAAAAGTGATCACAATACAGTAGTAAATCAAAGTTTACAAAAAGTGATCACAATACATATATATTATTATAACAGTAACTTGATCCGAAGAGCCGTATCACGTCAAGTTGACAGGCGCGGATCATCAGATCAAACGAGACGCGAAGCGTCGAGTTTGATCTGATGATCCGCGCCTGTCAACGAGACGTGATACGGCTCTTCGGATCAAGTTACTGTTATAATGATAAATTTATTATATACCCCTTAACAACTAGCAAAATATGATAAAAGAAAAAAACCTTTTGGATCAATTACATAACTTTTATCCATTAAACAAACCATTTTGTCAAGGAACTTTTAAAATGCGCGAGAATAAAAACGTCATTTATCTGTGTACTACGTCATCAGTTTCAGAGAGGGGTGATATGGATTCAGAAAACCACAGTGTGGTGATCCGGAACGTCGGATCACATCGTCTCGTGATTGCGTAAATTCAACAGTAAAACTTAGTGACAAACAGTTGGGTATATAATAAAGTAGTAAATCAAAGTTTACAATACAGTAGTAAATCAAAGTTTACAAAAAGTGATCACAATACAGTAGTAAATCAAAGTTTACAAAAAGTGATCACAATACAGTAGTAAATCAAAGTTTACAAAAAGTGATCACAATACAGTAGTAAATCAAAGTTTACAAAAAGTGATCACAACACAGTAGTTAATCAAAGTTTACAAAAAGTGATCACAATACAGTAGTAAATCAAAGTTTCAGAGTTATCTCTATAGTTAATCCCACAGTATCAAGGTTATCATGATAGTTTATAACTATAGTTTTTCTTTAGTATTTGTAGTTAGAGATTGTACTTCTCATATCAGTACTAGTTTTAATTCTACATGTATTGCCATTAAAACTGACCCAGTTGAATTTTCTTAGTACACTGTATTAGTTTGATCAGTATGTCTAAGATTCAATCGTTAAGGATAAGTGAGCTGTCAAAGCAGCAAGCATAACTTTCAATTGGTTATATTTACATTCAGTGTGACTGTCTTTATGAAATCCATTAGAAATCTACGACGTTCTAATCTCTATAACACACAAGAAAACCCTGTCACTGCGCCGTAGAATACACAGTAGGAACTATATGCAGTTTCAATACTCTAGGAACACCAAAATGTATATCGTTTTGACTCAATTTAATGAAAAACAATTACTTTGTTAAATTAACGTAAAAATACAACACCTGAGAGTTTGAAATTGATTTGTCATTTTTTCCTCGCAATTTTCATTTCCTTATCTAACTTTCCACGTCACAAACGGCTATTACGTCTATTAAGCACACCAGTTCTGAAAGGCGCTAAATTCATAATAAAGATTAACAATTATGAGGAGAGAAAATTAGAAAATGTAAATATAAGCATTGAATTCTTATTTTTTGACCGAAAAATTGCCGACAAATCAAATTTTTGCCGACAAATTGAATACCGCGCGGTATTCAATTTATCGGCTCGGCCAGGTGCGTTATAGGACCGACGACATCCAAAAATAAGAATGAATGCTTATATGCTGTAATAAAAGATCCATGCTCTGCTTGTAATTAATGATTTACAATTTAATTAATTTGATTGTTAAAAAGTATCACAGCTATTGTTAGTGTGTACTATGGTGTACTTTGGTTTGTGTTTTAGTAATTGCTGGCTGGATTCCTCATCATCAGGGAAGGAACTATATTGGATCATTTTTGCACCCACCATTTTATGTCTACTGGTAAGTGATTCTGTAATAACACCCACCATTTTATGTCTACTGGTAAGTGATTCTGTAATAACACCTACCATTTTTATGTCTACTGGTAATTGATTCGGTAATGACACCCACCATTTTATGTCTACTGGTAAATTATTCTGTGTTTAATCCCTCTGCTGGCTACAACAGCCCCCTTGTTTTAAATACTTAAGTTTAAGAAACAAAATTTATATAAATGTTAAAAATATATGTAACAAAAGTTGATCTACTAAATATACTCTCTTCTTACAATTAAGATATTGAAAATTTAAAGTTCAAGAACTGTAAACTGATTCTTCTTTTTTCAGCTTAATTTATTATTTTTTATCAACATTCTTCGAATCCTTGTAAGACAAGTCCGAACATTACCTTCTGAACCTAGCAATTTTAGGTGAGTATCAGTTGAGTTTAGTTTAATAGTTAGAGTGTAAATCATATACGATACCAATTTTGATGTACCGGATGAGCATTTCGACAAATTATGTCTCTCCAGTGATGCTTATGCCGAAACGCTGGAAAATATTTCAATAAAATTAAAACTTTGAAGAGCTGAATAAGGGGTGCCAAAGACTGAAGCCAAATACGTCGAAGGATCAGAGCTTTGCATGAGGGAGATAATCCTTAATTTTGAAATAAATTTCTAGATTTTACCACAGCAATTAATATCCGTATTTTCAAGCAAGAACCGAAGTACTTAGCTACTGGGCTGTAGCTGTATTCATATCGAACATTAACCTAGCACTTATGCTTGTTATAAATACATGTAGAATTATCCGTTAATTTATATTTTTATCTCTACACCAGCTAGAAGAGAAATACATCTTTATTTTTACATGAAGTATTCATTTGCAAATGGCACCGGCAAATACTCTAGTAATATCAGAATAACAGTCATCCATCTCTCAGTTTTTCCTTTATCAATGGATATAATGGTACATGTATATATAATTTTTTTTAATAAAATGTATTTTTTTAAATAATTTTCAGAAAGGCCATTAAAGCCACTTTCATTTTGATCCCTTTATTTGGATTACATCAGTTCTTTCTCATCTATCAGCCCACAGCAGAGGAATCTGCTTATAATTTCTTCCAAATGGCAGGAGGAATCATCAATAATGCTCAGGTTTGAAACTATTCTGTTTAAATTTTATTTATTGTTAGAAGCTTGTATTCATAATCGCAGTCAAGTTTGATTCAATCGCAATGGCTTTGAATTTATATTTAAGTATTTTAATTGAAAAAGGAAGAAAAAAAAATAATAACATGTATATTCATCGTCCTTGGAAAAAAGAGATAGCAAAATATTTTATTGATATTTATTTTATTGTAGGGAATCATAGTTGCATTGATCTTCTGCTTTGCGAATGGAGAGGTTAGTTTTTGTGACTTTACACATTCAAAATACTTGATATTTCTAAAAATGAGAAAAATCAGATAATTTCATAGTCCTAACAACGATTCTTCTGTTTTCCCTTCATAACTTTGTTTAAATTGAATTCATAGATCACTATTCCATAACAAAATATAATTCTAACACCCAATGTTGAAAAAATAATGATAATTTTTTGAAAAGGAACCATGCCCTTTTGAGCCCATGGGAAATCAAATTCAAAGACCTTTTTAACATGCACATAACGCAATCAAATTTTATTGGTAACGCTTAAAGTGTAGAAGTAACATAACGGACTAAATTTTTTTAACCGCGCCTTTGGCCCCTCTGGGGCTAAAATTGAAATTTTCAAAACCTCACTGTACTACTACTGGCCCATGGCTAAGCATATGCCAAAAAGTTTTTTAAGAACCTTCAAGAATAGGGGAAGAAGCAACAAAAAGAAAGTTTGCAGACGGACGGGAATTACAACAGTACAGGCGCGGATCTAGGTTGTCGCATCAGAGCAGGCGCTATTAGATGGTGAAGGTCTGAGTACTATCGACGTCCATTAATGGGCGAAGGACAGATTGAAGGCCTGGTGGGCGAAGCACTCGTCAGCTCCTGATAAATGATTGATAATAGGTTATTTTGTCATTACTACAATGGTATATGACAATAAAAACTATATTTTAATTTTGTTTGTTTGTTAAAGTGTCGCGCGTAGGGAGCGCCTCTGCCTGTAGTAAGAAATATGGAGAAAACGAACAGTATTCAAGCTCATTGTCCATTTAGCAATACATATCGGGAGCAGAGCTCCAGAAACATGGTGCCATGGAGAAGTAAGCATCTCCTGTCGAATGGTCACAACCGTCTTGTGCTCGACCTATACGTAAACAGAAAAATCGGTAGAAATTCAGTATGTAAATAATCGCCTAACAATTCGTTTGAAAAACGGCAGTCAGCATTTGACCTAATGATAGGTTGTGTTGTTGATACGGTCATTGTGTCGACCATATCCGAACTTATTTTCAAAAGTGTATGTATAATTACGAATAACCTTGTAATCTTGACCATCTGTATGCTCGAAAAGATAGCCCCTTACCTTTTGATCTTTATGAAAAGAACGTTATATTTCATATTATCCAGTAATGCTGTAATGTTGGTAACACGTACTTGATCCTGAAAAGTTTTTAGCTTATTATTAAAATGCACTGCATTTATTCAGGTTATATCCCATATAAAATCATCTTACGACACCATGCGGCTCCAACAGAGTCTAGACCGTAGGAAAAGTCTGACGACGTCACAAACAAATACGCGCCGTCTGTCGGCATCGTCTGTCAACATTAACCAGAACGGTCTTCCTCACGTGTCTTCGTTCCATGATATAAGTGACACATTGAATCTCGCTGACAATAATAATATTCCAATGGAAGATTTTCAGACCAATGGTATTATAAATCCAAGCTGTGATTCTAAAGAAAATGATGAGGTGCAATAACAAATGCCACCGAAACTTATGCGATGAATACGAATATGACCATACAGGATGTTTTTTTTTATTTAATGTATTTTAATATATGCAATGAAATCCAGTCACTATGTAATATTTTGCATTTTGGTATAGGTTCAGGTTCTTGGAATAAGATCACAATATGTATATGTTATCGAGCTTTTTACTAGTCTTCATTGCTTATTATGAACGGATGAGTCTGTGCTAAACCATATATAGATATCAATTGAAAAAGTTGAAAAATGAAAAGGTATTCCAAAATTTTATGTTGTCTGCGTTGCTTGTTAATAAATTGTATATTAATAAATCTCACAGAAATGCATGTGACTAAAGATCTGAGATAGAGAGAGAGATGTTGTTCTAAGTAGTCTTCCTAAAAATTTTTCGATCTTTTTACCCATGCTATAATAACTATACCAAGTGATTTATATCCTAACTTCCATGAAAGTATAAAGTCTGGCATCATTAATGATTTTTACTTCAAATATCAACAAGTTTTCTGGTACATTAAACATAAAATGGTGTGTTATCAATACATAATGAAAACTCGTATTTTCAAGTTGTGAAACTTCAACAAGAGGTTAGATAATTACTTCTTACAGTGTTTGACATTCATTTCTTGTTTTGTTATAACTTAATATTACTTGCTTCTTCCGTATGTTTTTACGCTACAAAAAATGTAAGATTAAGCATAATTTATATACACTTATAGAATTTGTTTTGTTTTTTATTGTTAATGAACTTTTATGTGAAATACAAACTTCAATATTTTTGTTATCTTTTATACAAATGAAGAGATTTTTTGAATAAGGAAGTTAGGAAAATCCGCATTGCTCCTTTTTTTTACTTATCAGGGTATTTTTCAGTGATTATAATCAAAACTTTTGGAAAAGGTGTACCCAATGCCTCTTTCCCAAGTATTACACGAATAAACCTTTTAACACACAAATTTCGCAGTGACATTGACGCTAATTAAGCGCTTTGCACACTTAATTTCATTCAACAGAAAACTTCAGAAAAATTATAATTATTTATCACAGTAACAAAAAAAATTAAGCTTAATTTCGTCAATTTTCCAATGTTAGCTTTTACTTTTCTAAAGTGAGAGTACACCATATTGATAAATTACATTGAGCAAAGGAGTAAAGATAAAACCCTTGTACATTAATGAGCATATTAAATGCCTTATTTAGTAAGATATATGAATATATGATATCAAGTCAAAGGCAAAAAATAGAAATACAATCTAAGTCATTGTTTGACGTAACTTAATATCACATTATCACGCTCGGCACTTTGAAGTGAAAGTTGCGGGTCTTCGGATGAGACCATATAAATAGAGGTCTTGTGTCAGGACAGGAGTTGGCACGATAAAGAACCCTCTCTGCTCAATGGTCCTGAGTGCCGAGTAAAGGTCTAAATTTGAAGCCCTTCACCAGTATATGGTGACGTCTCTATATGGGTGAAAAATTCTTAAACGAGACGTAAAACAACATACAATCAATCATATATGTACACGGTGTAACTCTAGAGCCAATCATCTAGAGCTTATGCCAAGATCAGCTGATGGTGACACACATAATTGGGGCCAGGAGCCAAGTGAACTTTTAAACATAAAAAAAAAACACTTGCTTGATGGTCAAAGTTGAACGAAGATTTGTAAAAAAGCGTGCCTAGTAACTTGAATGACAAGGTAATGCAGATCACTCATATTTTTGCCTGGTCAAAACCAAAGCCAGTATAATATCCCCTATCCTCATTTTCAATCTCCCACACTTTCCCAAAAAAGTCAGAAGATAACACAAAAAATAACACTTTTGGTCTCTTCATGAATTAATAATCGATGCAGATAAAACTCATTTTGTTCTGGTACATGTAACAATGCCGATGAATACGCAATGCAGTGGTCTACTCAAACTGAAACTGACTATTTCCTTTGAAGTACAGAATTTCCTCAAGGCAAATCTAATGTTCTCCATGTTTTCTCACATCTTTTAGCGTCCTGTCCACTGCTATACGAGTGATTACAAAACAACTTTGACTTTGCATTTGTAGGCACACTATCATCTTTTCCAATAAAAACTTTTGGTGAACAAAAAGAATGCATATTTACGGAAGAGTATATCACGTAATTCAAGATGTTAAGAAAGATCTACTCTCTCCAAGATTCAAGAGACTCTTGGCACAACAAATGACTACATAGCATTTTTTTTTTTTACAATTAAACTCCTAATAGAACATTCCGAAACATTACGTATTAAATGTGTAATAGAAAATTCCTAATCATTACAATTAAACATGAAATATAAATTTCCTTATCATAACAAATATGAAAGACAATTCATCTTTGCAATTAAAAAATTCTTACAATCACAATATGTTATTAATGATGACAAGGTCATTGTATCGACCACATAACTTACGAAATGATTACTTTAAACAAGACTGTTGATATTCTTGTTTCATCAACTTGCTTTTCAATAACCTACCATATTTTAGAAAATATTCATACGTAAGGCATGCTCTTGCGTATCAAATCAACTGAGAGATAAACCTCACATGCAGGTGATGAGGGTATATTGCTGCATAAGTAAGGGAAGTTGACGATTGAAAAGTTAAAAGTCATCACGTTTATCATGAAGCTTTGTTGTTAGATTACCATTAACGTCTTTTTCTGGTAAAATATCCAAATATGAAACAGATGTGTCAGATTCTGTGGTATCTTTATTTTAAGATCACTGAGATATACCGTGTCGACATATGAATGGAAATAACTATTGCTAGACAATACTTCGTCGATATATCTAAATGTCGAGTTGAAGGCCACAGCAAGAGATTTCTTTTTCTCATGTATAAGATTTTGAATAACTTCAGAGTACTTGTGTGTACAATCAGAATGTTTTTAACAAAATAATTTTGCAAATGACCAATGACAAGGTAAGTAAATTTACGAGTTCCATTTTTATTGAAAAAGCAGCTGTCAATGTCAAAAAGCCTGGACTTCAATTTATCGTGGGAAATGATTGTATACAGAGTTGAAAAGTCTCAAGTTTTTAGAAAAATTCTTAATCATTACAATTATACATGTAATACAAACATTAAGATATAATTGTATTTTTTTAAATACAATTTTGGGGTAAAAAAAACACCCCTATCTATGCATATATATATATATATATATATATATATATATATATATATATCACATCGAAGATAAATTGCAAATACCTGGGAATTTCATTAAACAAATCTTTGTAGTGTTAGAGAGTCTCTAAGATGATTCTTACGCTGACTGTATGAGTTACTGATAGAAATATGTAATTTGCTATATACAATTTATGAAGTTTGCATCAATAACTAAGCTTTCAAACTTTTAAACTTTAATATGAATAAACAGTAAATATCTTTCATAATACTGCGTATTGCGAAAATTTTGCGTGCTCCTTGTATTTTCGCCTCCAGCCTCCGTGGTTTGTATGCGAATTCAACAAATTGATCTCTCTTTTAATACTTTAAAACGGAATAGAATCATCTGCAAGTGTAACTGGGCACTTTACAGTACATTTAATAACAAAGAAAGAATATGATCATGAAAAGCTGAAGATAACAAAGATAACTGACTGATCTAAAAAAAAAAAAATCTACAAACAATAAAAAATCTGTGAACAGGGCATAAACTAAGACCCTTGGAAATTCCAGATGCGAGCCCAAATGCCTAGTAGGAGTAAGAATTCCCTGTTGACCGGTCACATCCGCCGTGAGCCCTTTGTATTGATCAGGTAGATGGAGCATTCCCTAGGCAAATCCAGTATAAAAACAAAGGCCTAACAATTGGTATATTAAACACATCAGCAAAAACACGGCTCAATGATAGATTGTATTTGTTAACTATGTCTTTATTACGACCAAAATATTTACGAAATACTGACTTTAAACAAGATTGTTGAAATCTGTAACATCAACTTATCTGTCAGTAGTCTGATCGCACTCAAAGTATGCTCATGAGTATCGAATAAGTTGGGAGACGTAAAGACCATATGCAGGTGATAGCGGAATATTACTCCATAAATAAGGAAAGTTGGAAGGCTGAAGTCATTTGTCATACAATTTAGTTGTTAATTTGCCCTTATCGTCTATAGTCAGTTACATCCAAATATGTACCAGATATTGCAGAGTGCGGCTTCTTTTATTTCAAGTTCACTGGATATATGGAGTCGACATATAAATGGAAAAAATTATTGTTAATTGGTGAAACGTCGATATATCTGAATGTGGAGTTGAATGCCACAACAAGTGTTTTCTTCTTCAAATGAAGAAGTTTTTAAATAAATTCACAGGCATATAAAACAAGTCTGTTAATAAAGGAGCACAATTAGTGCCCAACGTAACTGTTGGAAGAACTAATCTCCTAAGACTACATAGATGTTGTCAATGAGGAACTCCAGCATCCTTTTAATATCAACTTCAGAGTACTTGTGTGTAGAATCAGAGTGATTTTTAACAAAGTGATTTTGTTGATGGCCAATCACAAATACAAAAATTTCTGAGTTCCATTTTTATTGAAGAAGCAGTTTTCTATGATATCAAAAGCCTCCTTTTTAATTTATTGTGAGCAATGGTTGTATAGTGTAGAAAAGTCGTATGTGTGATGTAATATGTTGTAATATCTGTATGTTGTATATTAGTTGTCAATGAATTCACATCTTGGACCCGCAAAAATGTACAATAATGGTATTAACTGACGTTGATTTAATGACAATAGATTATAGTTTGTTCATAATTCTCACACCATTAATATATACAAAGTATACTTAGTATTTATTCCCATTTGTGCTTTATATCCTTTTTCTTACATAAAAATATTTCTTAATATGACTTGCACATGCTGCTAAATCATCAAGGCCAATGGGGTAAGAAAAAAAATAATAAAGACTTGTTTTCTAAAAACATGTATTTTAATATGAAATTGTGTAATATCGTTTTTCAGTTAGATATACATGTATCTACAGAAATGGACACTATAATATCAATTCAGTGAAATAAATACTTCAATCTAAGCAATCTTTCAGACAACTTTTTATCACATTTTCAATTTTTATGATATGCGTAGTGACTTGGAAGTAATTTTCCATTTTCATACGGAAGCATGAAATGATGTGCAAGATGTAGGTATTGGTATAGAGATTAAAATCCAGCTTCCACTGGGATCAGGTGGAGACACAAATTTCAGGCCAGGTGCTAATGATCCAATAAAAAGGATGACTGGATTTGAAAGAAGATGACAAATGATGCAACCTGAATCAAAGTAACGTATAAAGTATCTTTAGAGCCCAAAGCAGCATAATCTTCTCACCCCTGCCATTTTAACCCTCTCTCTCCCCAAAATAATAAACAAACATGAAATGACACTCAGCATTTCAGATTTATGATCTTTGTGCAGAAAAAGAGTATGTATTTTTATTTTGCCATGTATAGTAATAAGGAAGATTTGCAAGGCATAAATCAAGTGTTGGTAAGTACCCAGCTGTTTCTCTAAATGACAAAAAACACTGAAGTCAAATCTTACAAAGACTTTCCTTTTTAAAATTTTCTTAGACCCTTTGGCACTGCTAAGACAGAAAACAGCCTCATTCTTGTACATTCAGACATGCTATCATTTTCAATGACAAAAACCACTGTTACATCTTTATAACAAATAAACATATATTTATAGATGAGCAGATCAAGTAATTAATGTTAACAAAGACACAAGTCTTGAGCATGCTCCTCTCACAAGATTCAAATGAAACTTGGCACAATAAATGACTAGCACCTCTTTACAAATAAAATGTGTAAGAATATTTCTAAATATTACATAATATACACTGCTGCATTCTAGAAAGTATACAATGTTATGATCTTTTAAAATCTTTTTTATAGGATCAATTTATTAGATTTTTAAAGTTTTTTTTTAATCTTATGTGATCTCTCTTTCACAATATGTAAACTGTAAAATCCTGGTATTTATATGTGATATGTTTACAAATGTATCCCCTTAAGTTTCTGACAATAATAGTCCTAGGAGAACATAATGATGATACAAACATGATTCTCTACACAAATAATGATGACAGGGAAATCCTGACAACTGCTACAGTATAATATGTACTTATACTAGAATTATAATTAATATCGAAATATTGATACATGTAATAATATCAAAAAAACAAAGTCAATTTTTCCAGAACATATTTATACAGATTTTTTCCTGAAATTTTTTTATATAATCACTGAAATTCAGCTGTGTTTCAACTTTTGCATGACTATGACATGGAAATGTAAAAACCTGGTAATGTCAAGTAATGTAGACAGGAGAATAAACTTTCTAACACTCTTTGTAGGAAACCTTATTGACACCTAACAAATACTTCATCTGCTTAATGTACATCCTAATAACTAATCAACAGAGAAGCAGTAGCTAACTCTTTCCTGGAAATAGCGATGGACGAAATACAGTGACAAAATCAGAATTATAATAGTTAAATATTTAAATGCCCCGTTTGTTCTTTGATATCACAGCTGTGTGTGACATTATTATTGACTCAAGGTGTCATTTCCACAACTTACGAGTGTGTACATATTTAATGAAGCCTCTTCATCTCTGCCAAGGAAGTTATAGCTGGCTGTCACCCTAAATGCAGAGAAGACCAAGGAAAATCTCAATGATTCATTGATTATACATGGTTTTCATAAATGTTACTTAGTGAAACATAACCCATCACATTGTCCAATCTTTGCCAGACCTCCTAGTTTACTTTTTTTTTAATTATCCGACAAACAAATGGATACATGACTTATCTAGCTTTGCAAAGAAATGTTTGAGTTGAACTCTCTTACATAATACAATTTTTTTTATAATGTTTTCGGCTCCTCTCATTTTTAACATGAATATCAAATGAAATTTACCAAACCAAAACTTACGAAAAATACATAATTCTTCTGTGATAGAAAATGTATGGCTCAGCACAATCATGCCTGAAATAAGAAATCATCGTTGTTACCTTGGTTACAATTTGTATATTCATTTTCATATTTCAAATAGTAAGTCTTTTAATTGTTATTTGTCTATTTTGCATCACTAAACATTGAATTACCTCTGAATAATGATTTTTTTTCTGTGTGTGTTTTTTTTTTATTGAAAGATATTTTAATTTTCTCTTTCCTGAAATATTGACTGATTGAACAAAAGAAAAAATTCATAAAAATTCATTACAATACCATGTAAGTGCAGGTGACATATAAAAAGGAATTTCTAACCCAATAAAACACAAGTTATACACAACTTACACTAACTCAGCCAGTCCGTTTTTCTTGTTAAATTCTATACCAATAGGAACAGAGAATGAGTTGTGGGACCTCACTTGAACACTTTTATCAACAGTTACACTCGTCGTGTTTAGGACTTTCTCAGCAAACACGACCGACATTGTCACATCAGAGATCTTCACAGCAAAATAATTGGAGTTTGTCACATTTAAAGGATTCTGAAGAGAAACATTCAAGCATACAGATTTTTAATACAGACAAACCTTGTTATCTCAAACTCGATGGGACCAAGAAAATACTTTGAGATATCCGAGGATTCGAGATATCCTGGGTAAAATACTCAAGGAATAAGCGTTTGGGTCTTTCAAATCACTTTGACATATCCATGGTATTCGAGATATCAGTGTCTGAGATACCAAAGTTTAACTGTCATTATGTAAAGTAACATGTAAGCTACAATATATATTACAGTTTTAAAAACTTTATTATCTCAAACACTGATATCTAAAATACTAGCCAAGGGATATGTCGAAGTGAGTTAGCAGTTCCAACAACTTATTTATTTTTTTATGATATCTCAAACTTTAATTTTAGCTCCATTGAGTTTGAGATAATGAGGTTTGCCTGTATCTGATATACCAAAAATTCACTAAACAATCAATTTTCGTGTGTGCTTTTTTTCTTTTACTTGAAACATCCCACTTAGGAAAATCCCTGAAACTGCTCTTTAGTTACCTGGGTGTAAGTATCTTCATTTAAACCTGCTAATTAATGTATTTATGTTTATCTATACTTACCACTACAAAGAAAGACGCTGACTTATTTTGGAGGTCTATAGTTAGGTTATGTGGAAGCAGTAACTTTACATTGCTGCTGATTTTAACATCTCTTGGGAACATAAAGAAAATCAGTAATCCAGCAGTCAGCAAGCACACAATTATCGCCAGGGAGACGTACAAGCACCTGTCAAATAGAAAGGGCCTAAATTAAAATATTGTTTGTCCTTAGCCGACCAACCCACAAAAATTAGCCCAACTCAAAATATTTTATTGCTCTTTTCATTTACATTTTTTTTTTAATTTAAATAATTTCAAATCAGTTTGTTTTAATCTTGTTAAATACTTATTTCAAGTCATTTAGATGCTTTGATTAGTACATGTAGCGTTAAAAATAAAATGTAATAGGCGAAATCTGTGTTAATTCTAGAATAGCTATTTTGTTTATTCAGTGCATGCAGCAATATCACCTTAGATATTTAATGCACGCAAAGGCATGAATTCAGGGTGTGAAATGGGTTTGTTCCCGTTTTGCACACATTTGAATTTTAGATATTGGAAAAATGTGTGCAAAAGGGGAATTTGTCCATGTAAAATAATTACTTTATTGCTATAGTCCATATCATAGTTGTGATTTTGGAGAAAGAGATTCTTTAGAAAGAATGGGAAGATAAAATGTTAATTTTGCTCTTGATATTTTGACTTGTTTCTTGTAAAAATCCTTTTAAACACAAAAAAATATCACAAATATCAATCAAAACTATAATTAAATTCACATGATACTATAACTTGACAGGTTAATATTTTTATTAATTAAGACTGAATTCATTTACTTATTTTATCTTTATGAAATTAAACATGTTAAAAAAAAAACAGGGTGAAATGCGATAGGGATATTTGTCTCAACTATCAACTTCATCTTCGGTTGGATAAGTAAAATTTTCATAATGTAATCCCTTAAATTTTTATTATAATGATTGGTAAAATACAGGTAAATCCCAGACGGAGATCAGACTATAATTGCTATCAAAACATATTTCACACCTATTGTTCTATAATACCTAATTATCAAATGTGTGCAAAACGGGAACACACCGTGAAATGTACATGACATCACCTCTCGCTTGAATGCACATAGCTGACAAAAGTAGTAATAGGGGATAGAAAATAATGACTGAGAATTTGAGCATAATTTGTAAAAGATATCAAACATAAATCATTATTTAATAAAATTAAAATAATAATTATCAAAATTGAAGGTGCTTTCTAAAACCGAAAGTAGAAAAATATCGAGGAAAAGTGGCAAACAAGGATGCTGATTTTATCTTCAGATACATTAAGTCAACTTACATAAATGCACTAAAACTTAAAAGTTGGATGAGAAATGGACTTGGAAACACAGAGTATCAAGTCAAAAGTCAAGGATATTTAAAAATGATATGTTGTTCAAACTTAAAAGCTGATACCCGCAGGTTCAATGTTTCTAAGCCAGAAAGAAGTTCTCGATAGGATTTACGTCATTTTTTTAAATATAAATTTTTAAAATTTTTGATATGATGAATTTTCACTTGATATATCATTTTCCATAGAAAAAATGCCCTTTACATTTTTTTTCTAATTTCTAAACCCACCCCTCCCCTCCTTGAATTTTTTTTTACACAAATTAATACAAGCATACAAAAAGTAAATAAACCACCTCAAGGCCTTATAAATTTTAAGCAAGCAACAGAAAACATGTGTATTCCTTTTTCTTATTGCAGCATAAAGTGCCTTTCTGCCCATGTACAATCATGCATGCAGGGGAAAAATCATTGTCGAACTTTTTTCAATTATAAAAGCAAGGCCGCATTAGTCATACTAATATTCAGAATCCCCATGTAGGTTAGATTAAATTCTGTTATGTCATGAGTCCTTAAGCCTAGGGTGGACCCATATTATTTGATGGAACTGTAGAAAAATCTTTCAGAAACAACCTTTTGAAGAGCAACAATATCGAAAGTTACTCAAATGAGCATTTTGGCCATTATACTTCTTTGTATAATTTTCAGAAGAAAAAATAAAATATTTTTCCTACCTACCTACTCATTGTTAAAAATCTGGGTCAAAAAGGGCAAACAAACAATTTTTTTTAAATTTTGGCCAAGTATTACATATAAGTCACACTGATAAAAAATGAAAATATGAATCAAATCCATACCATTTACCACACAGCATATCTCATCCAATAATTTATTTAAGGAATGAATTTAATAGCTACCCATTTTATACGGTATAAACTGTGTTGGGGCAGTTTACGCTTTATAAACCGCAAAGCGGTTTATAAAAAAGCGTAAACTGTTCCAACCCAGTTTATACCGTATAAATTGGGTAGCTATTAACTTCATTCCTTATAATTTAATTTTCATTCATTTGGTGTAAGAAAAAAGTTGACTGTCCTTAAAAAATGACTTCAATTTGTACAAAATTTGAATGTAACGTCAGGCGGATCGATACGTTTTTGACGCAAGTCATTGTGACGTAGGCAACCCATTTTATACAATATAAAGTAAATTTTTTATCCAATCAAATACAGCGTTACAACCAGAATTCAATTATAATCAAATACAAATCATTAAATATGGTTTATTGTTTAAGGTTTGACAACACGTTCCTCATATATCTGTTTTGTTTCTCTTCGTAAATTATTAAAAAATATACATAATTAATATTATCTTATGATTTCTAAACTGCTTTCAAAATGTCTTGGAAAATAAATACAACAAATTTTATGATATTGACAATTCAAATGATTTCAAATAGGATTATATAGGAAACGCCACCCTGTGGTATCTTGCACAAATGCATGGTAAGGTACCTCATTTTTTTGTGAGAAAACTTGTTAAAGTAGCAATGCTTCAACAACAAATTCTTGGGAAAAATTATATATTATTGATAAACGTGTCATCTGACCTTAAAAGGTCACAGCAATTTTGCAGGCTAATGGACATCTATTGAGCCTCAATTTCCACTTATTATTTTCATTTTTTGCAATTTAGATTACCCAAGTATTCTTAAACGACGTTTCTATTTTTAATTCTAATTTTAGCTGTTGTCTGTGAGAAACATTCTAATTTAGATAAAGTGTTTAGATTTTCATTGATAGGAACTTACGTTCGTCTAGGTTTCAACCGATCATCCCTGACTGGTATTAAGGCCACCAGCTCATTTTCTTGTTCTGTAAAATCAGTACAAAATCATTAAATGTCAATAAAAAGCTGAATAAATATCATATCACAAGAGAGCTGGGCTGGAGAAGCTTCAGAGTTCACAATAAAATTTATCTTTTATGACTGTCAATTAAATTTAAGATTTAAGCATTTACTGTAAAACTATTTCTTTCAGTCTAAGGATGTTTAATCATATTACCAATTTGTTTTTCTTTAAAAATGTTCAATAGTACAATTTAAAATGACACAAATTATTGATCTATAGCATATGATAAAACAATATTCCTGAAGAATGTACAGCCACTGATGACTGAGCATTTTTTAAGCGCTAAGCGCAGCGCAAAGCGCTTACTGTCATCTTAATACTACTTCCGTTCGCGATCCAGCGCCACTTAGCAAGTAAGATAACTCCACCGAGTCTTCTAAAAATATGCAACTGGAAATCCCCAACTCGCTTTCGGCTATTTTAGAGTAATACTGTGTTACACACATGTCTAATAATAGGTGTCAATAAGTGAGGTAGATAGTATACATTGTACGAAAATCTGCTGTTGGTGGATAAAGGCGGTTATTATCTCTATACACTGTAGTTCATTAAAAAATTATGTCGGCACTGTGTAACATGTAGCTAACAATTGCTGCAGTGATAATACATGTATCGAAGAAGTATTAAAAAAACCATCAATGGTGCAAATACCTTAAAAACGATTTATTATATGTCATGTATATAGTGATTGTTTAAAATTCATATGGGATTTTAATAAGTATTTAAAACTCAAACTGGAAATAAGTTATTTAATAGAAAATTTCGCATAAAATTGATATACAAGAATTTATATCCATATTAATTAACTTTATTTTTCTTCTAGACCCTTATTTCAGACAATGTACATGTAACTAAAAACAAGTCTTTCTATTATTGCCCTTGCACCATGCAGAGAGCTATCAATGATGTTGATTTTCGCATCTCAGTATCAATTATTAACAGACGTAAATGCATTCATGAACTGTCTATATTCGTGTAATCTAGCCTTGTTTCGCAAGGAAAGGCAGTTTACGACTGTACATGTAGGACACGTAGTGGCTGAATCCACTTCGAGAGGTAAACTAATTTCTCGGAAATATTGATGACAAATATGGCGCTTTGTGTGTGCTGTGCGCAAGATATGTCGAAAATGTAAAACCTTACTTAAACGTTCTCAGTAACGGGACAGGTATGTTTGAGTTGCCGATTTGTCTGCTTAGCAACTTTATGAGCACTAAATAAAAACAAAATGAAACAATGTTGTATATCTTCATGAAAATCAGAAAATAGGCTTTCATATTTGTTCATAATTGAGATTGATATACTATCTTTTCTTTTTTGGGTTGTTGAATTATTTATCATGGAACTAGCACAAAAATTACTGGTCAATTATTTTCAGGATTTCTTTTCAAGGAACACACCAGTGCTGTGGATATTTTATTTTATTCCTATCAGCATGTTTTGAGTGGTAGTTGATATCATACTTAAACAAGTTAAGATTAAGCTAAAGCATCAAATGTCCGTAAAAAAAATTACCGATTCATTTTAAAGTATTTTAACAAGAAAGAGTTAAAAAAAAAAATACTCGAGTTTTTAATGACATATTTTTATTCCGAAGAAAAAAGTATAAAATTTTTATTTAAAAATGCGATATTTACAAATCACTACACATATTGTGAGATCAACAGAAAAGACTAATTTTCGACGCAAATACATTATAAATCATGTATATGAAAGTTAAAGATTAAAGAATAGCACTGAATGTTTTTTCATCAAACGAAGAAGACAAATATAATATACTTATACTCAAATTGTATATATACCTATTATCTCTGACAAAACTACGAAAACTCTTCAGGTGCTAATTTCCTAGATTTTGTCACATGTTGATGCCGATATGTTGCACAGCGCCATGAATGTGAAGTGTTAAAAATTGTGTAAGGCACAGCTGTAGCATATTCAAAACAAAATGTAATAGTCTAAGTCTTATTTATCATTAATTAATACCGGCGATTGTGTAAATATCTTACACACGCCATTGAATGTACTTCTTGTAAAATCCTTTCTATGAAATCGTAAATTTATAAATCGCTTATGAATATGAGAATAAATTGAGATATGATAAAAAAAAAAAAACCAATTCAGACAGAATATTATTTTCGTTATTTTAAAGATCTTTTATTCATAACTTAATAAATGTTATCAATAAGGATTTTTTTTATCGATATGCAGTATTGTATGCAATAAGAAATAACATCTACATTTTCTAACAAATGAAATGACAGTCGCCAACCATAGGCGCTTGGTTTCAGTTCAAATCGGCACACGATTGAAAGGCGTTATTCAATCATTTTTGAAGCTAGATCTCATCCGACAACGGTAGGAAAAGTGTAGATATTGATTAAAATCAAGTGTGAACCGAGAAACCCTCTGAAATCTAAAGTGGCAACTGTCGTACCTTGGTTCTTTTTTATATATAATTATATGATATTTTTAAAACGTGCTAATTTCAGCGATTTTCGATTTTTATTTTAATGAGTGTATTCAGACACACCTAGAAAAACATATAATACACAAAATACACCATCCATGCACCTGAAACCAAGCGCCTATGTCACCAACAGCCAATCTTCATTTTGAAACACTCGTGAACACGAAATGAATTCATTATTAAAAAGTATCACAGTGCTGTAGTGTTTCAGTCTAATAAACTGAAACTGAAAGCAACGGATGTGACGATTTCTAATAATGTAAAATGTAGAGGCGCCTCGGAATTACACGAAAAGCCTAGAGAGGTCAGATTTGTTCTATCTGCATAGATTTAATGATGTTAAAGAAAAAGAAAACTAGAAGTGAGTGCTGCTCATAACGGCAAACTAGCTCTTAAAGGAACGCCGAGACGAAGAGTAAAATTCGGACTGTGCACATTGCTCCAAAATGAACTTTTTTCTATAATAACTTCCGGAATTGCAATTTAATACAAATAGACAGTTTTTCCATAACTGTGGTATTGCTCTTTCTTGCCATAAATAAATTAAACTTCAAAAACAAAAAAAAAGTAACTGAGTTGCTTTAATTGAATTTGATGAGAGATAGTAAATTTGATGCTCAGGCAAAAAACTGTGTGAATTTTATCTTGACTTTTTAAATATATATTCATTTTTTGGCAAATTCTGTTGAGTGAACATGTAAAATTTGTTCCAAAAATATTAATTGACACCTGCATTTCAAATTCCTAGCGTATGATAACGGGGAAAATGCTCCGAGTAAAAATATGTAGGGCTAACATTCCAAGATTTTAGATTGTGTAGATTTGTAGAACTTTCTATTAAATATCTTTCCACAACAAGAAACAGTCCCCCATAAATCTTGTTCTTTATGATTTTATGGCCAGTTTTTGAATTGAATGTTTTATAATTTGTATAATTCAAATATGTTATAGAAAATGAAATTGTAATAAATAGTTTTGAAGAGAGAGGTTATTACTGAACTTTTCTTAAAAGCTAACGAGTGACATACCTTAAATAGCAACGTACGACGTCATGGGATGTCACAGTCTCGAATCTTCAAATATATCCTTGTGCGGTTTAAGTAAATGTGTATCAAATAACTGTGCTCGCCCCTAGCGTTTGCATTGTCAACATATTACTTATTCCAATACAATAGGCAATTTAAATTCAAAATAATTCTGATGAATGTCAAATTGTAAACATTGCTTAGCGCTTTCCAGTACTTTCAGTACTTTGATTACAGTTTATGTTTATTGAGGTTTTAATCTTCCGTCAACTTTAGGTATTGATACTGACAAGTTTTTACATTTTTTATGTTTTATTAAGGTTTTAAGCCTCAATTACCTTTAGGTATTGATCCTGATCCCCTACATGTGGGACAAGGGACCCTTCCACGCATCAGCTCCACATAACCATCAGATCGTATCACAGCTGTGGGGTTCCTCAAGGGTCGCCCTTGGGGGCCAGTCTATAAATACACAGAAGATTCCTTATTAAATCATTTCCTAGAAAATAATTTAAAATCTGAGTGAATAATGTGTACTGATTTTACTTCATTTTCGTGTTTATGTGCAACCTCCACTTACTACCAAGCTGTAATTCTTGATAATTTAAAGTAAAATTTAAGTTTAAAGTAATATACAATGAATTTTAAAACAAAAAAAAATTGTTTATAATGTCATATTGCATTTATGAATACAAGAGTTTAAATCTGGTAATTTTTGTTTTCGATCTGAAATATATTCTCCAAATAAAAATCAACATTTCAGAAAAGTCATGTACCCCCTGCTTGTTATGATGCTCTTCCCTAGTCAAACCCAGTCTTGATGCTGTGTAATTTTGCAGAACTTTACAGAAGTGACAATGTAATATTCTCCTGACAAACCCAGTAGTCTTGATGTTGTGTAATTTGTAGTTAGAGAGGTGACAATGTAATATTCCCCTGACAAATCCAGTAGTATTGATGCTGTGCAATTTGCAGTTACAGAAGTGACAATCTAATCTTCTCCAGACAAACTCAGTCTTGATCCTGTGTAATTTGTAGTTACAGATGTGACAATGTAATCTTCCCCAGACAAACCCAGTCTTGTTACTGTGTAATTTTGCAGAACTTTACAGAAGTGACAATGTAATCTTCCCCAGACAAACTCTGGCTTGATGTTGTGTAATTTGTAGTTACAGAAGTGTCAATGTAATCTTCCCCAGACAAACCCAGTCTTGATACTGTGAAATTTGTAGTTACAAAAGTGACAATGTAATCTTCCCCAGACAAACCCAGTCTTGATACTGTGTAATTTGTAGTTACAGAAGTGACAATGTAATCTTCCCCAGACAAACCCAGTCTTGATATTGTGTAATTTGTAGAACTTTACAGAAGTGACAATGTAATCTTCCCCAGACAAACCAAGAGTGACAATGTAATCTTCCCCAGACAAACCCAGTCTTGATGCTGTGCAATTTTTGTTACAGTGGTGACTATGTAATTGGTGACATAACCTACCTTACTTGTTGACATTATGACATATAAATAAGTTGAGTACATTTCCTCCCTTACCTGTTGTTCTGTGGGACATATAAATAAGGTGAGTACATTTCCTCCCATATCTGTTGTTCTGTGGGACATATAAATAAGGTGAGTAAATTTCCTCCCTTACCTGTTGTTCTGTGGGGGGCACCTGTTCCTCATTCAGGCTCCTGCTTACTCTCCCATACTGAACACCTCCATTGTTCTGAGGTGGACTATTGCCATTTGCTCCATACCCTCCATCATTATCGGGGGAGCTGGGGGGTCCTGATTTTTCTACCAACTTCTCATATTCACCAGACATTATTAGCACTGTTAAAAATTTGAAATATCCTGAAAAAAAATGTATTTTATTCAATTTTTGGAGTGTTTTCCTGATGACATAGCTAATAAATAAATCTTGCTCAAGAAGGATTACCTACTTAAGTTTTTAGATTTTTTACCTTTAATATGTTCATAAGTTCTATATTCTAGTAAACTGAAAGCTTGAAATGGCAGTAACAAAACATCCATAATTTGCATTCAGGCTAAAATATTTTTTTTTAGACTTTTTTTAAAAAAAAAAAAATTATTTTATATGCATTGTATTTAAAAATCCCTTAACTGCAAGATTTTCAAGAGGAGTCAACATCATTCAATGAATTGTAATAAATGTTATTATATGTGTTTATGCATGTGACCCTTGACCAAGGACACTTTGACATGAACACTCATGAGAGGCAGTGTAGATTCTTTTCATTCCTTACTTTATCATGCATGACTTATCAAACCTTATTCTTAATATAAATGGTGCCTTAAGTCATATGATAAGGTTATCAAACTCAAGGTCCCAGGAGTCAGAATATTTATCTTTTATTGCTTTAATTATTTGTATTGTACTAAGGGAATAGCTTGCTCAAGTTACTGTTTATCAGTCTATTAATTAGTACATTGAAGACTTCAAAATAAGACCTCAATATAAAATGCCTATGGTCATTATAAGCATGGTTTTAGTTCACTTTCTATTTAGTTAGTCAATGCTATTTTAGATATTGAAGTTCCTGACCCAGTCATCATAAGTTCAACCTTCTGGTACGTGTGTTCAAATTTCAGTTTTATTGTCTGAAAACAACTTAATATTAAATCTCCTGAAATGGGGAGCAAAAACTTGCTCTTTCCAATTTTGTTCTAATCATGCTAATGGTCTAAAAATTGATTACTTCAGAAATGAGTTCTCATCAAGTTATGATAATGTGTCAAAATCTAAGAAGAAAGAAAAATTTTCAGCTTTAAGAACCCTCTCTACGCTTACAGCACAATAATTTCAGGGTACTTTTGTGTATTTACAGTGACTTGCTTTTGATATAAAAATAACATTACAATCTGCATTATATGACATGTTTTGTAATTAATTTAAACATTATATTAGAAAAAAGTAATTGAAAACTTCATTTGCGTGTATTTTCCCCATTTGAATAAGCAAATGCTATATTTATCTTCATCAGTCCTTTGTTTTTCCTTGGATATAAAAGGCATGCACACACACACTGTTAGAAATGAGCCAGATAATTTTAATGTCCTCCTCTACATTATATAATTTTCTTAAGGTCCAAAAAACATTTTTTCAACAGTCTTTAGAGGGTCTTTCAAAGTAAATTAAGTAATTAAGTATATTAAATAAAACTCTCACAAAAAAACATATATATATCTAAGAAATTATGTTATCTTCTTGAAGTTCAATAACAATTGACTCATAAAACTAGTTAGCTGGTGGGTTTAATAACTTGAATTGGTAAATTGTCAGCATTGTTTGCTCCCAGCTGTCACAAGACATATTTATATTGTACATGACCTTATGGTGACCGGCATGTTAATAGTCAATGAAGCAGATATACATCAGCTGTACAGGTGATTAATATGAAATGTACAATCAATAGTCAATACCATACAAAAGCTACAGTATAGATACATGGCATATTACACTCTCTAGCGACCCTCGGAAAATTCAATTGTAACATTTGAACATGTTGAATTAGTGATTAAATTGGGCAGTGCATGCATAGTGGACAGTCTACAAAATAATAGGCTAAAGGAAAGAATTGATAAATTAGTTACACTACGATTCTTCTTCATTCATAATCTATGACACATTATAAATGTTAATATGTACAAAATAAATAATATGGTTACTTATTTATTTTTATAAACACTGTATTTATTTTTTTGACATCGTTAAAATCCCTCTATATTTACTTCAATGTTAATCTATCATCTAGTCTTTTTTTTTTTTACTTTGAAACTTGCTCTAAATCTATGCAAAAATTATGTATCTCTAAGTAACTATATGACCACTTTAACTTTGGAATAGATAATAATAGATTACCATATCTAGTACCTGTAAAAGTATACAAAACTTTCATGACCAATTAGTACCCTTTGCTCCACACCTACAATGTTATTTCAGAAGCAGCAATGATTAATTTGTCTTGCTGACTCAATGAGTTTGTGATCCCTCTAACCAATAGTACGTGAACACTACTTATTGTAGTCCACATGTGCATTTTAAGGTCTAAATTAGCAATAAATATTCCGCTCAATGCTTGTGGGTGGCTATGTGTCACTGACACACACTCTAAATATTTGGGACAAAATGAGTTACTATATATGAAATCTAAATTCACAGTGTACACTGCCTGACTTAGAAAAAGCATATGTCTAATATGAAAGCCTAGAACTTTTCGCCATCATCGATATTTGCAAGGCTTAAAAATGCAGAGGAAATGGAAATGTGAACTGTAGTGGTATTAATGACGAAAGATGAATGCCTTCAGGAACAATTATTAATGTAAACAGTGCTATCTCATATTGAACTACAAAACAAATAGCATTAACTTGTAACATATCCTTGCTTTGTAGAAAAATGTATTCCTAACTTTATCAGTTTATGGAGGATTTGCACATAGTGCTGCATACATTTTTTTCTTACTCCCTAATTATTATTTTAATTAGTTTAATCAGTCAGCGACTGTGCTTCGCTTGCATTAGTACGATATTATTTAAAGTCGTTATATATTTACCACACAATATTAACTGTCCATCTTTACATCATGTTGTATACATGAACATCCACTTGTGCAATTGTGCAATCAACTGCGAGGTTTTGTTGACATCACATGACCGAAATTCCGGATACGGAGGGATACGAACCCAACATAAAATTTAGACCGGGGATAGTACAGGTCCGGAATAAATAAATTCTTTATCTATTTATTTTTTAAAAAATTAAAAAAAAATTATTTATTTATTTATTTATCGATGGAAAGATAATTTATAATATTGTATGTGAACTGTATAGCCACGACAGCCCAGAACAATGTAGATATTCTATATTTGGGAATAACATTTGGTACATGTATCTAAGGTACATTTTACTCAGTGTGTATATCATTAAAAAAGAACACCAACATTTGCCATTACATATAAAAATCAAAGGAAATAAATGGTATTAATATATAATTAATATTGTGCTGACAAACTATATACTCCATTATAATCATTTCTATACGATCGTGGTTTATGATTATTTAGTAATACATGACCATTTCAATTACTTTACTCATACATGTATATTCAAAATGATAGCTTTAAAAACTGACAGTAATTTCAAAGAATATATATATATATATATATATATATATATATATATATATATATATATATATATATATATATATATATATATATATATATATATATATATATATATATATATATATATATATATATATATATAAAATAGATGTATTTAATTAATTTCTTATTTTCAGGTTTCCTCTTATTTAGTCTTTTGGATATTACATGTTTAAAATTAATGTATATATGTATAGATATGTATAAACATGTATAATTTAGCACTTAAATATTAAATTATAAAGAAAAGATATAGATGTTGTCCCAAGACTCGTTCTTGAAAAAAATATTGATACAAATAACACCTTAACTTTATCATATGTATATCTCAAACAAAGCCAATATAAGACAATGACAATGAATTTATTCTCATAAACTGACAATAAGTACTGTGTAGAGACATATTACAAATATAGTTAAATATATGTGCATGCGTGAAACAGAAAAAGTACAAAGTCAAAAAGCTAACAATGACCTAACCAGGAGAGCCAACTCTCTCATGAGAGATCTCGATCTGGAGGGAATTTCTGCGGCACAATATGGAAGTAACTGCAAATTAATTAAAAGAGATGAGGAAATGTATCATTCGAAATTATGACAGAATATGGTTGGTCAATTAGCAGCTGATTAATTAGAGCTAACATCCTAGAGACGAATGGGAAGCTACACATCAATAAAATCAAAGGAGAAGGAAACACACGATATCCAGAAATGGATTTATCTTTCTTTGTTCATGGTCCTGGAAAAAAAAAAAAAAAAAAAAACATTCGGTCAGTTCAATGTTCCCTTTGAATTTTCAATACTTTCAGAAATATTTTCGAAGAGGGAGAAAATCAGAGAAATTCACTAAAAAAGGGTAACATAAATCAGGTGCGGGACGGGACAGAGAGAGAGACAGAAGTAAGCGGGACTTGTAGGAATCAAGAGCATGTAAATATATAAGGAATAACTGTCAGATTTTTGGGTTTCATGACGATGATCTCAATATTTTTTTTCATTTCGGTGTTTATGCAAATTATCAGGCAAACCAATCGCTTGATCACATCATGAAACCAACAAAACGATTGTCATAATTTATAATAACCAATAACGTCCTTCGGGTGTTTTAGGATTTGATCACGTGGCCAACTTTATTAAACTCTAAAAGAAATTTAACGTCAAGATGTAGTAAATGAAAGAAGCATACAGATTTCTTAAATTTGAAAAATATATTCCTTTAATGATGCTTTATAACTCTGCTCTATAACTATAGCTTGGTCAAAAGGTGTATCGGGGCATAATTTGTAGGTAAACAAGACGAGGAATCATATTTTAAATTTTTATTTTCAACCAAAATTTAAGAAAAATCAGTCATGAATATAGAAGTTTTTATCCATATCAGAAAAAGAATATTGCCCATAGTCTCTCGGAAAATGTTTTTGGTCTCTTCTGTAAAAGAATATTAAATCGAATATAGGTATCGGGATTACTTTTCACATGATTTCACATTGAGTTCCATGACATTACATCGATTTCTACATAATTCTATTAGAGCTGGGGAAAAAGACAATTTAAATTGATTGTGACGTCATAATGGACCAAGCACCAAAAAGACAGTCTAGAGTCTTGACCTTAATCATTCTGCGTCACAAATAATTACGTCACAATAACATAATAACGTCACTTGTATAATACAATAATATGTCAGATTCCGAAGATGAAAAGCCCAAGTTGCCTCTCATTAAACCTATGCGAGGAATATTGACAAAAACTGGCTTAGATGTTCAGGAAAAAGCTCTAAACGAAAAGCCTACTTCCCAAGATTTCATTTATTTCCCATCGATTACATATGGAAATCGTGGAGTTGATCGGCGCTATAATGTGAATACTTTGGCGTACGGTACCTATGACATCATTAAGTTGCTGGTAAGTGGAGGAGTCCCACCTTTTATTTTTCAAAAGGAATATTGGTATGCCCAGCAAGAAAGACTTTGGGAGGATTCTGAATTCAAGTATTGCCCTAAAATCAGAAGAAAACGTGAATTGTGGGAGCCAAAACTTGCCGGAACTACCTTTAATGCACAAATTGATAAAGATATAACAGAGGCGAGGCTAAAACAGAAGAAACTGCTAAAAAAGATTTCCATGAGGGCTGATGAAGTGAGACTCCGAACAGATGATGTATTAAGGAAAAAGACAGAGAAAATGGACAACCGTGTTAAGGCTTTCGTGGAGAAAATGGAAAAACGTGCGCAGAAAAATGGCAGAAAAAAATTTGATAAACGCCAGTGAAGGTCCCAAACAAAAATTATAATGTGGATAATAACCTTTATCTTAAAACTATCTTGAAATTCCGGTATCATTTTATTGCGTTTTAATTATAATTCCGTCAAATATTCTATTTCATTCAAACTTGTGACTGATTATCGTTAATAAAGCTGTTTCGAAATCCGTAATCAGGAAAATTCATTTTGGAGATTGTAAGAAACTGTATTAAAAGACAGATTTGTACATAGAATGTTGGGTAATTTAATACAATGTCTCCATAAAAGGAGACTGGTATTGGTTTTGATATGGTTGTCTGTCTACCTGTGTGTGGTTTTTTTTTTTTTTTTATTTTTTTTTTTTCTTTTATTAAAAATATATGCAACATACAACATATTGGGCAAAGATTATATTATACATTACAATTAGTATTTTTATGACATATCAGAATTATAATACATGTACTTCTGCAGAGAGAGAGAGAAAAAAAAATATGCATCATACCTGTCTAATAAGCATTCTACTACTTTTACAGCATTTTCTTTAATCAAAACAGTGTGGGTTTTTTTCAGCAAACTTTTTTTTTAAAACGCGTATAAATTGATTTAAAGGATATACAATGTATATATATATAGGGAAAAAAAAGTATTGAATCCGGGTAGCTAAAGGGGTCTTATTCAACACCAGCACTGTCCATAATGAGGACCCCTAGCTACCACACATGAGGACTGTTTTCCTCATGTGTTGGATATACAAATGTCTACTCCATAATTAGCGTAACATAAGATTTTTTTTTCTACAAACAATTTGCTACATCACTATATAAGTTATTTCCTATTTTGCCACATTTTCTCACAATAGAATTTTGTAAAATGAGACAGTTTTTAACATAAGATTTCAATTTATCTTCTGACATTCTTTCATTATTGAATCGACTCTTCATTTTATACTTATATATAGTAAAACAAAGAAATGAAATTAGATTATTCAAAATACATGTTTTTTCTGATAATTCACCGTAAAATCCCAACAAAATACGTTTCCATGAAACATTAAATTTTAAAAATATACTAGTTTTTCGCCATAAAAAATTGGTAATTGCACAGGAAAATAGAAGATGTTCACTATCTTCTAATACATTGCATAGCTCACACATTGGCGATACATCTTTATTCCATTTACTTACACTTGCATTAGTATTTAACAGACAATTAAGCAGCTTGTAGTTGAATTCTGCAATCTTTTTGTCATACATATTGAGAATTTTTGAAATGTATATATTCTTCCATAATGTTTTATCATCTATGTTAAAATATTTATTCCACTTATTCTCATAAATTGAATTATGAAATTTTGACTGAACTAAGACCGAGTAGTAAAAATCACTTTTTAAAGTTTTGGTCGACTTAAAACAGTTGTTTCTAAACAAAAACGAGTCATTATTATGGATGTTAATATATTTTGCATAGGAACAATCAAGTTTTGATTTGAAAGGTCTTAGCGTCTTTTTGAGCATGATATATTCACAGTAAATATTGTTTTTACTTCTTAATTTATCCCAAAAGTAATCTAATGCATGTATTTCACCATTTTCATCAAAAAGATCTTTCACATACAATATACCACTCTTGATCCATTGTTCAAAACATAAAGTTTTGGAATCATATCGGAACAAATTATTGTGCCAGATAAATTGGGATAAAAATTCTTCCTTCAAAATACTGTTGCTTTGCTTGAATTTTTTACACTTATTAAGCATTGAAAAAACTTCCACATAAAATTGCGGGAAATTAGTCAGTTCCCAAAATTTTTTATCATCCAAGTTATAACTCGTTGTTTTAATAATATCATGTATTGATAAATTACTATTTTCTAATAGACTGTTTAAAGTAAAGTGCGTGATTGTATTTTTATCTAAAATTCTTCTTACCCAAGAAGCTTTTGCAGCAGAAAATTTACTTTCAACATCAATTATCCCTATTCCTCCTTGTTCAATTTTACCAATCAAAGTATTTCGTTTAATTCTCTCTCTTTTGTTCCATAGAAAGTTGAAAATGATTTTTGAAACTCTTTTAAAGAAGTCTTTATCAGGATTAGGTAAAATAAATGCATTATACACAAGCTTTGATATTGCTAAAGTATTGATTATTGTACATTTTCCAAATATTGTTAATTTGCGTTTTCGCCAAACACTTAAGATTTTTTCAAGTTTTTCAAGTTTGCTTAGCCAGTTTTTTTCATAACACACGTCTTTATTATGACCTAAGTATATTCCAAGAGATTTAACACTTTCAGTTGCGATTTTTACACCAAATAAGTCATCATTGTTGCAGTACTTATCAATTAAGGAACCAGTTAAAATGCATTCAGTTTTAGATAAGTTTAGTTTCGGACCAGCAACTTTACTAAATTGGTGAATAATATCTAAAGTAGTTGCCAATGAGTTGGTATCTTTTAATGCATTTGTACAGTCGTCAGCATGTTGAACTATCTTGATGTTTTTTGAAGCATTTTCATTAAATGATAGACCATGTATATTTTTGTTATTTCTAATTTGGATAGCAAGTGTTTCTAATACGAAAATGAAGAGAAGTGCAGACACCGGACATCCTTGACGTATTCCCCTTTCCATAGAGCAAGATTTTGAAATCCATCCGTTATTTTTAATTTTGAAAGTAGGATTATTATACAGAGTTTTGATCATGTCAATAAAGTGTTCTCCAAAGTTAAATTTGCTTAATGTTTTGAACATGAAGTTATACTCAACAGAGTCAAATGCTTTTTCGAAATCTAAAAATAACAATATGCCATCAAGATCATGATTCATACAGTGCTCATATATGTCAAGTATCAGTCTCGCATTTTCTCCGATGTATCTTCCTTTGATATATGCACTTTGTTCTTTTCCTATAATATTTTTAGCAACTAGCTGTAATCGTAAGGCTAAAATTTGTGCAAAAATTTTATAATCCACATTTGTAAGACTTATCGGTCTATAGTTTTTTAATTTATCTTTTTCACCTTTTTTGTAAATTAGGGAGATTATTGCGTCTCGTTGTGAAAATGGTAGAATTCCAGTTTCAATACTTTTAATTAAGCATGAGAAGTATATATCTTTAATATCATTCCAGAACATTTTATAAAATTCTGCTGGAAGTCCATCTGATCCAGGAGATTTGTTATTTTTCATATGACTAATAGCTTCCTTACACTCAAACATTGTCGGTAACTTATCGCAATTATTTTTCTCATTTTCGCTAATTTTCGGACATTCAATATTTTCAAGGTATTTTTCGATATCGTGATCACAAATTCTTTTACTCTTATATAATGTATTATAGAAATCGACTAAAGCTTTCATAATATCATCATTTTCTTGATAGACAATATTATCGTCATTAGTAACTTTATTAATTGTATTGTCGCCCTGTTGCTTTTTTTCTATATTTAAAAAATATGCAGTACTTTTTTCGCCCTTTTCCATCCAGATGGCCCTCGATCTTATGTAAGCCCCTTTACATTTTTGTGCATAGAATTCATCAATTTCATTTTCAAGTTGTCGTTTATATCTCATATTTATGTGAGAATAGGGTTTATTTTCCAATATTTTAATTTGATTCTCAATAAAATTAATTCGCTTTTTTTTGGAAATTGCATTTTCTTTAGAATAGGCTATTGTAAAATTTTTAATTGATATTTTCAGGCATTCCCATTTAGCGATGGGGTCATGATCATGTAATCTAGATATTTCTTTTTTAATGAAGTTTCTTATTTCATTGCAAAATTTTTCTTTGTTTAAAAGTGACGTATTCATTTTCCAATAACCACTCCCTCTAATATTTTCTGTTGTACAGAAATCAAAGTATAAACCTAAGTGGTCACTAAATCTTGTCCCGTCATAATTAGGAGCTTTTCTTAATAAAATTTGATTAAATCTAAAGCAGAAACTTTCTGCCATAAATACATAATCAATTCTAGATTTGGGATTATTGTCCGCATCACACCATGTGTATCCCTGTTCGTTATTTTTATCACTGAAGGACCAACAGTCGATCAAATTAAATGATTTCATAAAGTTTCTTAAAGCCTTTACATTTCTATTATTTTCGATGATATCTATTTGACAGTTGAAATCTCCGCATACTATTAAGTTATCTAAATTCATAGCATGTTTATTGACCCATTTCAACATTTTATGTAAAAATATACTCTTCTCATTTTCATTATTTGGCGCATAAAAATTGGCCAAACTTAAAATTTGTTCAGATAATTTAACATTTACCAATAATTTTCTACCATCAATAGAAGAATGTTTATCTAGTATTTCAATGTCAAGATTTTCTTTAAATAAAATCGATACACCTCTACTATATACCGAATTAGAAAAACTATGAATTTTATATCCATACCAACGTGAATTATAGATTGCTTCACTTGTTTCAACAAAATGTGTTTCTTGCAAACAAATTATGTCAAAATTTGCATCTTTGAGCCATTCAAACAACAAAATCCTTTTCCCATAAGTATTCAAACCTCGTGCATTTATAGAATAGAATGATAGTAGATTTGTCCCCATTTACATGAAGCTATATAGATATGCTTAATTACCCCTGGTCCTTTACATTTCTCTTCCTGTTAGAGTTTCGTCTTGCCTCTCGAATGAAGCCGTCCAGATTAGTCTGGTTATCGTCTGTATTCTTCCTTTGTAGTGAGTTACTTCTGAGTTTCCTGGTAAAGTTTGATGCTATTTTACTCAAAACCGTGCCTAGTCTGTTCTCACCCGGCCATTTATCCGGATTTGTATGGAGGGTGGCTTCTGGATAAAGTCCGGTTCCCCAGAAGATATCGTTTGTGGCTTCGGCGAATAATGTGCTAGCATCTGAATTTTCCAGTTTCTCGCGAAGTTCTGGTACCTGTGTAGCTTTAGCATGGATAATCTCCTCCATTACCGTTTGTTTTTGATCTTGCCACTTTTCTGGAATCTTCACTTTATCTCCTATTCTCTTAGCCTCCAGAGCTGTTGGAGCAATACGGATGTTTTCAGGGAAAAGAGTACCAATTATTTTCCCATAGAACTCTATACAAACCTTTTGCTCTCTCAGTACTCTACTAATTCGATTTCAGACAAATCCTTGGCACCATTTGAAACTTTATTCTGAGCGCTTATAAAAAAGCCCGAAAAAAATATAGGGTCCCATGGCGTTTATAGGTCAAAATTGCTGTTGTTTACAACTTATAGCGATCGGCAGTAAATGACACTATGCCAAAAATATCAACCCCCACTCCTACAATCTCCCCTGGTACTTCTATATTTTCTGTAATATTCCTACATTCCATCATTTATTTCAAACATTAATATTTTTACTTTAAAATGAAAATAATTATATACCTGAATTCAGCCAATCGGGTAACACACACTATTCAGTACTCTATACTACTTTGTGTAACAAACAAAACCACGTGTACATCCGGGGATTTGGTACTCTCATTCCTATACTTACATATTGACCTATCCCAGAAGTAGTCAATTTTGTTATTTTCAAAGACCTTATACCTACCAATGTTTATGTGTGAAATTTGAGGCCTGTCACTTCAGTGTCTTGGAAACTGTGACCATCTTAATTAATGACACCTCCCTGCTGCAAGTAGTGTTCCAGGGAATGAGTAAATTTCATTCCTGTGATCAGACCTGGATATAGTTGTGACTGTGATGAATAAAATATTTATACAATTGCATGGTTTTGTTTTTTGATGTTAATAAAATGATATAAAGTCACATTTGTGTCAATTTTTTCATAAGGGTGGATTCTACCCAGAATTTGAAAAAAGCTCCAAAATTTGATAAATCATGGCTAATTAAGCAAAATTGAAAGTTTTTAAAAAGAGTGATTCAGAATTTTTTTGAAGCTTATGAGAAGTAAATAATTTAAGACTCTAATATACTAATTGATTCTTATCTACCCCCTCCTGTTAAATAAGTATGTGCAAAAAAGTTTCACCACCCCCCAGTGAAAGGCACTTAGAGAAATAGCAGGTGCCCCCTATTATACTTGTTTACAATTAATTTAGACAAGAGCAAGTTTATCCTTTTGAGAACAAATTAAAGTTTAGTCTCTGTAGTCTTAATCAGTACTATTCATAAGCTACATTATTGAAATTTATGCCTAGAAAAGAGAAATTCAGGTCAATTTTAAAAAATCAAGAAATGCAATAAGTATTACTTCAAACCCCAAAATGTACCACACAATAATAGGCTGGAAAGTTAAAAGATGGAGAATTTACCTGCAAAGTACAGAAAACTGTCCAACAAAATACATCAGGTGGATAGCGAGTCTCCGTCTTCTTCTTATATAGAGAAAATGCTCATGCGGATCAAGTACCAACCTCTCCCGGGGCCGAGGAAGCTGAAAGATGAAAATCCTCTACAGTGCTTAAATGAAAATGAATCAGAAAAGTTAGTCAAATTAAGCATAAAGCATTAGTGAAACAGCAATATTTTTCAAGTTTTCTAAAAAATTAACAATTTACACAACTGCTCGACAGCTGAATATTTAAAAAATGGATCCAGCAAGGGTGGGGTACATGTTATACAATATTACATGTAATTACTTGTAAATACATGAAAGGTCAAATGTGATACATGCAGTTTAAAGCCATTCCAAGCAATTCATGAAAAAAAATCAGAAGCCTAAGGTCTCAACAATTAAGATTTCATCATGTTGAAATTCTACATGTCTGGTTAGCAAGTCTAAGGGAAGTAACTCTAAGTACAAAAACTGGAAAGCAGCTGAAAATGAGTTACAGAGGGCCACCCTGATGAAACAACAGGCAGCAAGAAAGGGAAAATACAGAACTTTTTGTAGCTACAACAAAGAAACAACTTAACTACAAATTCCTCACCCTGCAGTCCAAGAGAAGCAATCCAGAAGATCACACGCACTACCAGACATGAGATGTCAAGACCGAAAAATGTGCTCCTTTCACATGACCACCAAAGAAAGGCCCTTTTAAGGGTCACCAAAATTACTCGAAAAGATACCGAAAGTGCAAACATTTAAGAAACTAATTAAAAATGAACACCAGGTCACAACCCCTACACTTCCATATATCTACACCTATAAGGCACAACATAAAAATACATGCAGGTACATGTATACATAATACATACATATATTTATACATACATACAAACATTCATCATAAGAGCAATCTGATGCACTTTCTTAACTTACTTTCTTCCTCTGGCTATGTAAACTGCACAATCCTGTACAATTTCTACTTTTTTCTCTACAGCCCCCCCCCCCCTCCCTTTTACAAAGGACACAATTCTTCTCAAACCCCCACCCAAAAAACTAATGAAGTTTTTTGCTATTTTTTCTCTCGGTATGTCTTCAATATTCAAATAAATAGCTCAAAATAACTTTTCATGACTTTCAATTCACTAAACATTGTAAAAGTTGGGGTCTCTATAGGGAAAAGAGTACCAATTATTTTCCCATAGAACTCTATACAAACCTTTTGCTCTCTCAGTACTCTACTAATTCGATTTCAGACAAATCCTTGGCACCATTTGAAACTTTATTCTGAGCGCTTATAAAAAAGCCCGAAAAAAATATAGGGTCCCATGGCGTTTATAGGTCAAAATTGCTGTTGTTTACAACTTATAGCGATCGGCAGTAAATGACACTATGCCAAAAATATCAACCCCCACTCCTACAATCTCCCCTGGTACTTCTATATTTTCTGTAATATTCCTACATTCCATCATTTATTTCAAACATTAATATTTTTACTTTAAAATGAAAATAATTATATACCTGAATTCAGCCAATCGGGTAACACACACTATTCAGTACTCTATACTACTTTTAACAAACAAAACCACGTGTACATCCGGGGATTTGGTACTCTCATTCCTATTCAGTAGCGTTGAAATCTCCAGAACGAAGAGCTTTAGTAAGCTGGTAGGCATGCTCAGTCGATCTGTGGGTTTCCCCGAAGACCTTGATATCACAGGGGAAAAAGTTAGATAAGGGGTTTTCCTTTCCTTGGAACACCACTATTCGATCAGTAGGTTCGCTGTAGTGCTCACAATCTTTTGATCCCGGCTTATGTCCAGGCCGTTTGCACACACGGCATGCTATTTCTTTTATACAGTCTTTGACCCTGTGCCCAGTGTCCCAGCAGTTGTAGCATTGTATCTGAGACTCACCCTTCTCCTGTCCATAATGATACAATCTACATTTGATATCCGCACATTTTACAAATCTAGGCAGGGACTTTCCTGTGTCCAGAGGTTTTATATAGAGAAATCGGTTGCCGTTAAGCACGCTTGTCATGCGGTTTGTCGTCGGGTGTCTGATTTTTTCGTATTTAATTTCACTTTTCAATTCTACTTGGAAGCTGTCTAACATTTCAAGGATAGCACTGTCATCAACAGATAACGGCAATCCGCTAATTGTGACCTTTAGGACTGGATCATTAGGACTTTTTGCTCCTGTAGAATAGGGATTTGAGTCATATACCTGTACAGAAAGGTTACGGAGCTCGAATCCTTCAACGGTCAACTTTGTCCTACTCTCTTTACATTTTAGATACACTCGCCAAAGGTCTCTATCACGCTGAATACAGTGAATGTTATCCCCGATCTTATCATGAATCGCCTCATAGAGTTCAAAATCAGTTACCCTGTTACTTTGGTCAGATTGAAGATCTCTGTTCTTCAAATAAATCGGCTTGAACATTATGTTTGCACCGTCAGAATTCATGATTGTTGACAATAGGCTTACCTGAGGAGTACTCACTCGTGAACTCCGCGACACGGTAAACAATTGTATACAAATACACAATACTCAAAATTCCATATCCACATTACAAAATCACATAAACTTGGTTTGAACTTGATAATCACCACTTCTTATGTTGCTTTTGAAACAGAATGGAATTCTATATTCACACAAAATACGAAAATTTTTGTCAATAATCGGAGCAGGTAAATTAAGCGTCCACCATTTACCTGACCATCACGTGACTCCTTCTGTCTACCTGTGTTAAAAGTGTGTTCAAGGCCAAATATCTCAAATGTCACTGAATGGATTTTTTTTCTTTTCTAATTAAAAAAGTTTAAATATCTATTCCTTTAAAACACTATGAAACAACACTTTTTGTCCATTTTTGGTACCCGTCTGTCTGACCTTTAAAAAGCACACGTATGGGTATCAACATAGTGAAAATCCAATAAAACAACAACACAGACATACCAAAATACGTTAAAATTTTCTAAATATGTACATGTATAGAGTATTCGGCATTATTTCGTCACATGTCAGTCCTTATCAATTATAAGAAATATTATTGATTACGGATATCTTAACAAATTGTAGACCGCAATTTTCAAGTAGAAAAATCTATACTTATAAATTAATAAATTTTGCAAATAAACTCCGAAACGACTGCACCAGAGTTCATACTAACTCCTCTATGAATACACTAGATACAAGATGATGTCCGTAAACTATATTCAGATTTCACTCGCATAGTAAGTATCATATATTAAATTAAAAGTCTACTTTCATTTTCTGTAAACAGCCATGAAATAGTAAAAAGGTGAGTAGGGTGGCGGTTCCGGTTGGCGGATCTAAGTTAACGGCAATTTTTAATGAAACTGAAAACAAGCAATCGTTTACTGTAAACCAACTTTTATTCGCGACGACTTTATTTCGCGATTTACCGGGGGGGGGGGGGGGGTAAACTAATTCGCGACGATTAATTTTCACGATCAAGCCTTTTTTTTAATCTGCTGTTAATAAAAAGAGAGACTTTAAGGACCGATTCACGGCGAGAAATATTGGCGATGACGAGGCTGTCGCGAACCTAGCGAAAATTTCTCGCACGCGAATAAAAGTTGGTTTACAGTATTTATTTCATAAAACATCATCACTGAATTATTCAATCAAAACTTGATTTAATTGATATAAAAGAAATAAGTTGTGATTACCGATTAACAAGGGAAATGTGCAAATTATGTTCGTCATTCACCGATCTTAATATTGACGGAAACTTCTAGAACATCATATGGCGTCGAGCCCGATGTTAAAAAGAAAAAACGAGGTGATTATATAAAAAAAAGCTTTTGTGTGAATGGTCATTGAAATAATGGTAAATCATTGATAACACTTGAGTTGTGAATTTATATATTTATATATCGAAAGACTATTAGTAGGTTTTCCTAATAATTTATCGGTAAAATTTGTATATTCCTCACTGAGAGCATAGTGACAACGAACCGAAGTACAATTTGTAACTTCGTAATAAATTTTCTTACATGAAAATTAATGAATAAGGTATTGTTCAAATACAATCAAATATGTTAAAATTTTGTGCTTTAGTCAATACATTTCAGGGTTTTTTTTCTGAATACAGTCTTTTGTATCAAATACTCGGCAAAGGGCGTTCAAAGCTAATGTTTACAAAACAAGCAAACAAAGAAAAGAAAAAGAATTTCAATTTATCATTAAAATGTGCATATTCGCTGCTTTTATCCTTGATGGAAAAGAAATAAGAGCACCTGAAGTACAATATCCATAACATAGTTTAACAGGTTTCACAATAAACGTCAATTAATGAAAATATTTTTACAAGGGGGGGGGGGGGGGCATACATCTACTTCTGCTCCAAAGCTAAATGCGGGATTTTGAACAAAGTGTATCTTCCTGCTATAAGCCTGTAAGCTGTCAGTAGAAACTATAATATATATTATTGGAATATTTCTGTCGGTAGTGGTATAAATTCAATTCCCCGCGCTTGCGCGGGATTTCACCTAGTATGATTTATAAGTTAATTCAATATCTACGATAAAAAAACCCAACATACAATAGATATTAAATTCAACATTTACGACAAAAACAGCAAAAGGTAATAAAGCAGAATATTAATTCTATAGTCTTCTGTTGTTTCTTTGATCAAACATTAGATGCCTCTGTAGACTCAATAACGCGAGCTGACTGAACAAAACGTGTATATCTCGTGTTGTTACATACAGCGCACGTGACCTGTCTGCAAATGGTGTTCGACTTCCATTCTTGTTTACAAAAGAGAACAGGAAAAAAAGATTGTCAACGATTATTGGTTCTCAACATGCAGAAGCATTAGGGTTGTCTTTATCTAAGCTAAACTACTAGTAGTATAGCAAAAGGTGCAAATAAAACCTTAACCAATTGACCAAGTTTCATGAATGACAATTATAGTATATTTTTTCTTTCCTGAACCGGCTCACAGAGGGTGTGACAAGGAATACAATAATGTACTTGAAGATGTGCATGTTTGGACAAAACGTTTGTTGTTGAGTAGGGATTCCTTCATAACGCGAGCCGACTGAACAAAACTTATCATATTATGCATTGTTACACGTGGCCCGTGTTAAACCAGAATCCATTTATCTACCTATCCGAATGCTGTTTCCAAAGCTAAAGCAATAAATAGCAACGATATGCACGATTGCAACATAAGTTAT